ATCCTGATTATAAAAATTAAGACGTTTTTGGTTCTGTACAGATTCTTCTTCCTCTTGTACCTAAGAAGCAGAAAACCTCCAACCCAAACACCGATGCTTCATATAGAAGATATTTCACAAAACAAAAGAGCACTGGATTAGGAATCTAGTCTTGGCTCTGCAATTAATCTTGGCACTTTGTAGAAGGCACTCAGCAATCTGTGTTAGTTTCCTCTAACATGAAATGAAACAAATGGGCGAGACTACCTTCAAAGTCTTTCTAAGACTGATATTCTAAGAAAAGTTTGTGTGAAGCTACCCTTCAGTGCCATCTGGCCTTAAAGGCCCTCCACATTAATAATCATATGTAGCTTTATAGGAAAATGTTAAGTGGAATAAATAATTCAACTTGATATTTATTTAACTTTTACCAACATAAAAGCATACTGGGCAAACCAAAGAACAAGACCCAGTCCTTGACCAGCCCTCTTTTACACAGAGGGGAAAAGGGAGATGACAAAATTTCTGTATTCATAACATTTACTACAATCTAGCCAGGGAAACAAAATTTAATTCACTTTAATTCCTCAAATATTAAATATGTTTTGTGTAAAAGGGTAGTTTTCAAATCTTGATGAGTAGAATCGACTATGTTGTTTACTTTCTAAAAAAAAAAGAAAGAAATATAGATTCTCCAAAACATGATTCAGTAGGTCCAGGTAGGGCTAAGGTATCTGCATTTCTAAAAAGCACTCTTGACGATGCTGGTGACCTTTTTGTTAAGAAACTCTGCCTTAGTCTAGCTAACAAAAAGTTTGAGTTAGTCCAGTTAAAAGAAAAACTTTCAATTGATTTGTGAATAGGACACGTCCCAATTAAAAGTAGTTCAACGGCTTAGGGCTGAAGGGATAGGAAGGACTTTCATAGGATGAATGCAGAAACAAGGCAAAACATTTGATTAAAGTGGAGCAATAGTCTGATTTGGACTGATCCAGTGAAAAGTCTCTAGTTAAAGATTAATGGGCAGTTTCTGATTGGTTAAGACAGTTTACATTGAGTTAGGTTTTGGTTTGCTTATATAGGAAGACAGGGCACTGGAGGTACCTCAGTCTAATCACTTCCCATTTAATTATTTTAACAGTTTAAAAAAAGATGTTTCTAGACTCCGAATTCATCTCAAGACTATATACCCCTAACTAGAAACAAACCGCAACCCATTAAAAATAAGCAAAAGCCAGCCAGAGCTTGTACACTTGTGCATTTCAGCGGTTCTCAAACGTGTCTGCACTTTAGGATTAACCCAGGAAGCTTTTACAGATTCAAATATAGACCAATTAAATCAGTTTCTGGGAGCAGGAGTTAGGGTTAATCTTTCTTTCTTTTTTTTGAGACAGAATCTTGGTCTGTCACCCAGGATGGAGTGCAGTGGTGCGATCTCCGCTCACTACAAGCTCGGCCTCCCGGGTTCAGGCTATTCTCCTGCCTCAGCCTCCCGAGTAGCTGGGATTGCAGGCACCAGCCACCATGCCCGACTAATGTATTTTTAGTAGAGCCGGGGTTTTACCATGTTGGCCAGGCTGGTCTTGAACTCCTGACCTCAGGTGATCCACCCGCCTCGGCTTCCCAAAGTGCTAGGATTACAGGCTTGAGGCACCACGCCCGGCCTACCTTTCATATTTTTTAAAAGCTCCCTGTAGCCGATGTGGGTAACCACTGAATAAATAAAAGGTCACTGCAATTGGTTAGTCAGGTTAAGTTTCATGAAAAAAGACTATTTTTAATCGGGATTTTTTTATTTAGCTAAAGGTTAATGAAAAAGATAAATGTAATAGAAGAACTGATTATCTAAATATATGATCCAATAGGAAAAGAAACAATAAACGTTTTGACCACAAAAAAAGGGAGAATAAGAACAGTACCTACGTGAATTTTAGACATTTTGTTTTTGAGGCAACATGCAAAACCAAAGTTTTGTAGATAGTTGTGCAGACACAGACTTGGAAACATCTGGGAAATAAGTATAGGATCAATTTACAGGAAATTACAAGTATATTAGTGCATATTTGTATATAGCAGCTTTATTATAAATTATTATAATGTATGCTATGGAATAAGCTAAACTCAATTAAGAACTGGATGATAAGGCCAGTTATTTAATTTAGATGCTTTCAGGAGTCCCAAACTTTCAATCTAACATTATTACTTAAAGTAATAGGAAGCTGGGAGTGTTATGTCTTACAAGAAGAGGTGAAGAGCTCTAAATTTCTCTCTAAAAATTAATAATCTATTTTCTATATATCCTATGATGCCCTGTTATGTCTGCCATGATCATAGTCAAAGGACAGATCCTGGCAATGAATGTGTGGAGTAACCAAACAAATACTCCATTAATATTCAAAAAGGCCTTTTGTATAATACAGTAAAGATGTTTGTTCTTTTATTAGATTTGAAGAACACCGAAAAAGTTTGGAATGACACCTTAGCAACCCCCCAAATATTCCTCCCAGCTTCACTGAAGAGGTCCTAAAAAGCAGAATTTATTTATGTTTTCATAAAGAACCTTTATCTCAAGCATTAATTTTTCCAAAAGATTAACCTATCAAGAATTTCATTCTGGCTGGGTGCGGTGGCTCATACCTGTAATCCCAGCACTTTGGGAGGCCGAAGATGGATATCACAAGGTCAGGAGTTCGAGACCAGCCTGGCCAACACGGTGAAACACTGTCTCTACTAAAAATATAAAAATTAGCTGGGCGTGGTGGTGGGTGCCTGTCATCCCAGCTACTCGGGAGGCTGACACAGAAGAACTGCTTGAAGCCAGGAGGTGGAGGTTACAGTGAGCCGAGATCATGCCACTGCACTCCAGTCTGGACAACAGGGCGAGACTCTGTCTCAAAAAAAAAATTAGTCGGGCATGGTGGTGCACACCTGTAATCCCAGCTACTCCAGAGGCTGAGGTGCGAGAATCTCTTGAACCTGGGGGGGCCGAGGTTTCAGTGAGCCAAGATCGCGCCACTGCACTCCAGCCTGGGCCACGGAGCGAGCATTAAAAAAAAAAAAAAATTGAGGTCCTTACATATTTTTCAATATTCAATGATAACTAAAATAAATTGCGATATACATAAATTTGTTTTGAGGGTAAATTACAGCACTGTGGTAAATTACATTGATCCAAAGGTCTGATTGTATTGCCTAATTAATAAAATATGAAAAAATCAAGACATTCTCAAAATACAACTGGAAAATTTCTACTTAGCCATACACCCAACACTGCTTTTACTGTTTTTCTATATATTACGATTAGATCTGTAGTCCCATACGTGCACTGATTTTTCAAAAGGAAATCCCACCAAAATTTATAGGAATGGCCATGAACACTGAAAAAGATCATCACAGATATAAATGAATAAGACTGCATTAAAAGCTGATTAAAGGGAAATGATGGCTCACCTGTATCTACAAGCATATTAACTGCTATTTTGGTACTTGAGCAAATGAACACATTACTTTTAGGTTTTCAGAAAGAATGCAGCATATATTTCTCACAATTACTCTTAAGAGCTGCTGAAAAAGAATTTTTTTTAGACCTAACCAAATAATGCCACAAATGCCACAAAGTTGAGAAAGTTCATTTTACCTCATTCTTTGTTTAGAAATAATTTTGGAAAAATAGTCACTGTGATATACTCAATAGTAAGTATCGTAACGATTCCTGGAACTTACTACTATTAACACAGTAAACTGCCACGATATGTTGGAGAAAGTCTGAAGAAATGTCTGAAATTACTTGGTAACTTAAGTACATAACATAAAATACCAATTTACACACACACATATACCTAGTCCTGTGATGACAACTCAGAAGTTTACCTTACATTTGAATACCCACAAGCTGGGGTGGGAGAAACTACGCCTAAGAAGCTACAAAATCTATTTTGGCCAAGAAACAATGCTGTTCTTAACTTAAAAGACCTTAATAGTCCGGGCGCAGTGGCTCACGCCTATAATCCCAGCACTTTGGGAGGCTGAGGCGGGTGGATCACGAGGTCAGGAGATCGAGACCATCCTGGCTAACACGGTGAAACCCCGTCTCTACTAAAAATACAAAAAATTAGCCGGACGTGGGGAGGCTTAAGTAGGAAAATCGCTTGAACCCAGGAGGCGGAGGCTGCAGTGAGCCGAGTCCGCGCCACTGCACTCCAGCCGAGGCAACAGAGCGAGACTCTGTCTCAAAAAAAAAAAACAAAAAAAAAAAACAAAAACAAACAACCTTAACAAAAATGGCCATGGACACGTACAAATACTAGGTTACTAAATCTGGCTAACACCGAACTTTAAGAACAATCACGTTTTTGGACAAAGAAAAGGGCAGCCATATTTTTAGAGCCTCATCTACATTATTTTAAACAAAAACTTAAAATATGGTCGAGAACTAACAGGCTTCCAGCCTGAATTCAACACCTCCCTCGTGATAAAACTCAAAAATCTGACAGCCTGGAAGTAAAATACAGGGACACTTTACTACCCTGAAAATCATGCTGGGTTCCCGCTAGGCCGGGTAGACGTTTTCGGGAACATCACCGCGCGGCGTCTCGCAAGCGCTTCTCCAAGCGCCCTCCGGGCGGCAGCGCTCTCGAGACACTGTTGCGTCGCCGTCACGCCCGTCGCTGTCACGCCCTTCCCCGCGGACACCGAGAATGACCCATGGCGGAAAATTCTACCGCACTACCTCCCTGAGGCAGCGACCGGTAAGAAACAACCTTTTCTTCAGGATTCCCACTACCCAATCCCACTCGCTGTCGACTGGCCACTGTCACCCACCACCCTGCAGGAACAATTACCCAGCCTCACCGCAAGAACGCGCGGAGAGGAGGCGCCAAAAGAAACCCTATTCTCGCGAAATCTTAAACCTAATTATCGCGACGTCTCTGTTTCTGTAGTTCTTTCTCACCCGTAGCCCCACACTAGCGCGTTGCCTCGGAAACATCGCGAGATTTCGTTCCTTCAGTCTCCACCCCTTTACGGCACGATGGTCGCGCAAGAATGTGATACAGCTTCGACGGCCGCCATTTTCTTTCTTTCTTAGCTGTTAGCCGAGAGGAAGTCTCTGAACGGGCGGCAGCGGCTAGCGTAGTGTAACCATGGCAGACTATTCAACAGTGCCTCCACCGTCTTCTGGCTCAGCTGGTGGCGGCGGTGGCGGCGGTGGTGGTGGAGGAGTTAACGACGCTTTCAAAGATGCACTGCAGAGAGCCCGGCAGGTAAGTGTGGACCGCGCGGCGGAATCCCGAAAGCTCACGGTAATTGGCCGCTGACTGAGTAGGCCGCTACCCTTTAGCGCGTGAGGAAGAGGAAAGAGATGTCCTTCCGGGCTGAAATGTGAGGAGACACGTTTCCCCTTGTTGGTAATAAAGATTAGAGACCAGAACTCAGTTTTGTGTTCTTGGTGTGTAATCCACTTAGAACCCCGACGCGTGCTACGCAAAGAAGGCCTGAAGTCTTTCTCCCGCTTCTGCGGCACTCGTGTGTCGCCAGCGAGCTAGCTTAGCCTCCCCTTTTCTTCGAGATGAAGATCCTCTTCCAGGGGATAAAGCGCAGGTAGTTTCACACAATTTAATGGAAGGTTCTGGTAATCATTTTGGGAAAGAACTAGGGTTGGTCTCCTGGAGCCATAGCAAGGGAAGGGATTTGTCGTTAAAGTAGCCTTTACAGCTCATTACCGTTCCCTCTCGCAATTAAAACCGCTTTCGGTACCTTTCACCTTCACACCTCTACAAGGAAGGGACTTGAAAGCCGTCTTTTTCTGGGCGGGATTTACGCGTCAGTCTGTTCTAACAGTCAGTCCCCCTTATTTCTCAAAATGGCCTCAGGCCCATTATACCGGAGGTTTCAATTTGAATCTGCCTCTCTGTTAAGAGTCGTAAACTGACCAGACCTCTTTGTATTACGTAGTGCGTACATTTGCCCTGAAGACACCACTTTCCCAGACGAAAGCTGTTAAAATAGTGCGAGTATTCCAGGAAAATAGAAGATTTCTTAATTTGAACTTTACATTTTTAGATAGTCCCCTACTATATTTAAAATTTCAAAATGTGTGGTGTTGGTATGGATTTGCATGTAAGCAAAAGAATTCTATTCTCTATGACACTATGCATATTGTACTAGGTGCTGGACATTTTTTACTAGTGTTAAGCTAATGGTAATTAGAAACCAGTGTTGTGCTGTGTTTTCATTGCATTAGGAGTTCACTTAACTTTTACCGGTACAGTTAAAGGAACATTGAGTCAAAATCAGAATTCGTAAAATGCATTGTAACATACCTAATGTGAACACATTATCAACATGTACCTATACTTGTTTATAACCAGAGATATTAGAAGTAGTCAACAAAAGGTTATCATTAATATTAGTTCTGCGGTTTTTTCACGTAATTTAAGAAATTCTGAACATGTTTAGCAACAAGCATTTGTATAACTATGACAAACACTGTTAGCGCGTTTTATTAGATTGATTTGTAAAACTTAACTATTGTATTTATTGGAACCAACTATTTTATTTTACCAGAACCAGCACATTGGATTACTTAGTATCAAACACTGTAGGTAGATACTGGAGTTTTATTTTGTTTTGTTTGAGACGGAGTCTCCCTCTGTCGCCCAGGCTGGGTTGGAGTAGCGATCTCGTCCCACTGCAACCTCCGCCTCCGGCTTCAAGCAGTTCTCCTGCCTCAGCCTCCCGAGTGGCTGGGATTACAGGCGCCCGCGACCGTGCCTGGCCAATTTTTTGTTTTTGTTTTTAAGTAGAGACAGGGTTTCACCATGCTGGCCAGGCTGGTCTCGAACTCCTGACCTCGTAATCCGCCCGCCTTGGCCTCCCAAAGTGCTGCGATTACAGCAGTGAGCCCGGCCTTGTTTTTTTTTTTTTGTTTAAATGCATGAATTGTTTCCTACTAAGAAGCTATGATATAGTTCCTTGACCAAATGCAGATGAACAGGATTATCTGATTAATTGATTAACGAGAGCAGACAAAATACGGGTATTTAATTCATCCGCTCGTTTTATAAGTGTTTATAGAGTTTCTACTATGAGGCAGGCACCTTGTATGGGACACAAGTTGGGAGGGGATACCCAGCTTCCTAAGTAAAGGAGTGATATTTGAGCAAGGCATTATAGAATGAATGAGAGTTTGGCCAGTAGGGAAAAGAAGCAGCATGCGCAGAGGTATGGGACGTGGGGGAATGACAAGAACCCAGAATTGAAGTCACTAGAAGATGGTAGTGGGAGGACATGAAACAAGGCAAGGAAAGGTACAAGCGGATCCAGATACTGGAAGACTTTGTGTTGCAATGCTTTAATGAAAAATTGGATTTCGGGCCGGGTTCGGTGGCTCACGCCTGTAATCCCAGCACTTTGGGAGGCTGAGGCAGACAGATCACTTGAAGTCGGAGTTTAAGACCAGCCTGGCCAACATGGTGAAACCCCATCTCTACAAAAAATACAAAAGGTAGCCGGGCTTGGTGGCCTGTGCCTGTAGTTCCAGCTGCTTGGGAGGCTGAGGCACAAGAATTGCCTGAACCTGGAAAGTGGAGGTAGCAGTGAGTGGAGATCACGCTGCTGCACTCCAGCCTGGGCATAGAGCGAGACCCTGTCTCAAAAAAAAAAAAAAAAAAAAAAAAAAAAAAGGTTTTATTATTAGGCTAAGCCATAATTTCTTTCTACTTTTTAAAATACAGAAATTGTCATCAAACTGAAATTTATTGTCTTATATGCTAATAGGTCAGTTGTTCTGTCTTAACTGTAATGATTTCTTAATGAAAATGATCTTAAATCTGAGATTCCTAACTTTGGCTTTTAACTAGAATTACCCATTACATTTTATGATGTCTTTAAATGTCAGTTGTAGCTGTTAGTCTGATAATATGTGTGGAATATACAGAAGGGTATTTAGACAGAAGTTAGGTTAACATCTGAACTACTTCCTCCTTGTGTATTTAAGAGAATATTGACTGATGTTTCTAGAATCCTCAACTAACTCTAAGTTTATTTTCTTTGTCTAGAATACTATGCCGTTTTTGTTTTTGGAAGGAAGAGCTATAAGAACAGTTTCCTGCTCTCAAGGAGCTTCAAAGGCTGTACCAGTGGGGATGCCATTGGTGTATTTAGCTGGATAGTTGTTATTCAGAAAAGCAGGACAAGTAATTTTGATTCCTGGTCCATACTTGGTAATGTCAGTAATGTTAACTCTAGCTGGTTGTTGACATCTGGTCATTTAGTTGCCAATCCTTTTTCTTTTTTTTTTTTTTTCCCCTAGCTTATTTTTATGTGAAAGTCTTAGATTTTTATAGTATTCTGAGCTCAATTCAACACAGGGACACCAGGTTGCTGCTTTTGTTCAGGGTTTCCAGCCTGTGCACTTAAGAAATTTATTTTTATGTATTTCAAGCTGTAACTCCAGAGATTGGGATTGTTTGATTGGGTCCTTAGCAGTGGTACTAATAGCAACTTCTGTCTCTAGAACATTGGAAAATTAAAATGTATTTATCTACCGTTTTTTCCCTTGAGGTTATATGAAGGTAGAAATGAATCAGACTAGATGATTAGCTAAGCAAAACTGTTAACCCTCATCCCTTCCCCTCTAGACAACTATGAAATTAGTCAGTATGTATTCGATCCTTCTTGCAGTCTCTTCTCTGACAATTATAAAAGTGATTCAGGCTGCATAATGTTGTTTGAATGAAATGAAAATATAGACTAGAGCTGTTTTGGGTTTTTTTTTTTTATTACCATCAGTCTGTTCAGTGAAAACTAACATTTGAGCATGATTCTTTTTAAAAATCATTTTGTGACAGTTTAGCAAGGCTTGACTGTTAAGCAGATTATGGTATGGTAATATTTCTAGTGTGCACATTTCTTCACATGTCTGGTATATGGGAACTACTAACTCCATCAGGACTTTGCCTGTAGTAGGTACTCAGCATTTACTGAATTAAATCAATAAACATTTTTGATGAATTAAAGTACAAGTCAGACCTCTGTGTCTGTGGGCTCTGCATCTGCAAATTCAGCCAACTGTGGATCAAAAATATTAGAAAAATGGAATGACGGTCCAACAATACAAGTAATACGAATGAAAACAATACAACTATGTACATTGTATCAGGTATTATAAGTAATTTAGAGATGCTTTAAGTATACCAAAGGATTTGCATAGGTTGTATGCAGATACTGTACCATTTTGTGTAAGGAACTTGAGCATCTGTGGATTTTGGTATTTGCATGGTTCCTGGAACCAATCCCCCAGGGACACTGAGGGACTATAGTTGGTCGTACCACCTGATTTTAGAGATTTTCTGATCCTCAGAAGTTAATTAAGTAAACTACAGTATTCTGTTCTTAACCTCGGAGGATACATTCCAAGAACCTCAGTGAATATCTGAAACCACATATAGTATTGAATCCGATATATACATGGTAATATTTTTTCCTGTACATGTGTATCTATAAAGTTTAAATTCTAAATTAGACATAGTATTAACAATAATAATAAATTAGAAAAAGACTGGGCATAGTGGTTCACGCTTATAATCTTAACACTTAACTTTAACTATGATGTTGTCTTGAAAAAGAAATCAGCCAGCCAAGGTGGCTCATGTCTGTAATCCTAGTATTTTGAGAAGCTCAGTCAGGAAGTTTGCTTGAACCCGGGAATCCGAGACCACCCTAGGCAACATGGTGAAACCTTGTTTCTATAAAAAAAAATACCAAAAAATTAGCCAGACATGGTGGTGCATGCCTGTAGTACCAGCTACCCAGGAGGCTGAGGTGGGAGGAGTGCTTGAACTTGGGAGGTCAAGTTTACAATGTTGACAATGTTGGGTCCTTTACGTAGTTGCGTAAGTGAGCCATGATCATGCCACTGCACTACAGCCTTGGGCAACAGCCTGACCCTGTCTCAAAATTTTAATTTAATTTAAAAAATGAAATAAAACAATTACAACAATACACTGTATTACTGACAGGGGCAAATTTTTAAAAAAACCAATATGCTGTAATAAGTTATATGAATAAGGGGATCCTCCCCTACCCCAGAATACCTGATTGTACTATACCATAGGTAACTGCAACCATGGAGAGCAAAAACTGAAGATACTGTGTCTTAAGTTTCTTTTCAACTCCCAAATTCTTGGATTTCTCACATCTTGGCTTCCTCAGTAGAGGTGAGAAATGCTAAAACAGTGAAAACAGGAAAAATAATTTACTCATTCAAGAAGTCGATTATGGTCCAGATGGAAAACTTGAATTATTTTTGTAAAACTAAAATAAAGTAGCCAGGCACCATGGCTCACGCCTGTAATCTCAGCACTTTGGGAGGCTGAGGCGGGTGGATCACTTGAGGTCAGGAATTCAAGACCAGCCTGGCCAACAAGGTGAAACCCTGTCTCTACTAAAAATACAAAAATTAGTCAGGCATGGTGGCGGGCACCTGTAGTCCCGGCTACTTGGGAGTCTGAGGCGGGAGAATCGCTTGAACTTGGGGTGTGGACATTGCAGTGAGCCCAGATCACGCCACTGCACTCCAACCTGGGCAACATTGTGAGACTCAAAAAATATAATAATAAGTAAAGTAAAAAGTTTCCCATACTTGATAAATGTCTAATAAAATTGAATGTGTTCTAGGACTCTGAAAAAGGAGTTGAATATAGTTGGAGGTTGGTTTTTAGGAATTATTTTTCTTAAATTAATTATCCTTGTAGTCACCTAGGAATTGTATATTTTCTGTTGATCTTAGAAAATTGATCAAATCTATAGTTCATTTTGTTTTTTCAATTTTTTTTTTAAAGAGATGGGGTCTTACTGTATTAATGTTGAACTCCTGGCCTCAGCCAGGTCTCCCACCTCAGCTTCTGAAGTAACGGACTGCAGGTGCCACTGAGCCAGGCTCCGTTATTGGTATTTTTATTAAAAGCTTTTCTCTAATGTCTTTGTAACAGTTCTCAATTGTTGAAATGGTGTTACTCGTTCTTTAGAGTAAAATGTCAACTTTCATTTTCTTTTTTTTTTTTTTTTTTTTTTTTTTTTTTTTTTTTTTTTTTTTGTTGAAATGGTGTTACTCGTTCTTTAGAGTAAAATGTCAACTTTCATTTTCTTTTTTTTTTTTTTTTTTTTTTTTTTTTTTTTTTTTTTTTGAGACGAATCTCACTCTGTCACCCAGGCTGGAGTGGCGGGATCTCGGCTCACTGCAACCTCCGCCTCCCAGGTTCAAGTGATTCTCCGGCCTCAGCCTCCAGAGTAGCTGGAATTAACGGGCACGTGCCACCATGCCCAGCTACTTTTTTTTTTTTTTTTTTTTTTTTTTTTGTATTTTTAGTAGAGATGGGGGTTTCACCATGTTGGTCAGGCTGGTTTCGAACTCCAGACGTCAGGTGATCCACCCACCTCAGCCTCCCAAAGTGCTGGGATTACAGGCATGAGCAACAGTGCCCAGCCTCAACTTTCATTTTCATTTGGTTAGTTTTTGAACTATTCAGTGGGTAAGGTTGTATAAATGTCTTTTCTCTGTATAGAAGTTTCTTGGAGTTCAAGGAGTGCTACTTTGCAAACTCATAGAGTATTTATAAAAGCTAACTGCAGAAGGTGTTCATAGGCTAAACTGTTTCCTATTCTTGGTAGCACCATTTTCTCTGGCCTGAAATACTTTCCTTCTACTATTAGTGTCTGTCAGTGCCCAGCAGTGTATTTACTTTCCTGAGGAACAATTCAAATGCTAAGTGCTTTAAGACCTAAGGGTGGAAAAGCAGTGTTTTCAGGCATTATTAGGAAAATAAGATTTAAATTAGACACCCAGAAACAAAAACGGGTTTGTAATTGGTAAAGTGAAAGATGGTTAAAGAAGGTTAGATTGACCAAAGCTAGAGTTTTTCTTTTTTTTTTCTTTTTTTTTTTTCTTTTTTTTTTTTTGAGACAGTGTCTCATGCCGTTGCCGAGGCTGGAGTGCAGTGGCGTGATCTCGGCTAGCTGCCACCTCCACTTCCTGGGTTCAAACAGTTCTCCCACCTGAGCCTCCTGAGTAGCTGCGAGGCATGTGTCACCATGCTCAGCCATTTTTTGTGTGTTTTTAGTAGAGACTGGGTTTCTCCATGTTGGTCAGGCTGGTCTCGAACTCTTGACCTCAGGTGATCTGCCTGCCTTGGCCTCCCAAAATGCTGGGATTACAGGCGTGAGCCACTGTGTCCAGCTGAGAGTGTACCTTTTTTTAATCGAGCAATCTAGTTCTTGATCCTAATATTCTTTGTGGTGGGTGTTTGCATTTTTAGATGAGGAAAAGGGAAATTTAGGAGTCCTAGGAAATACAGTTGGTATATGGGAACTGATACATAATTAGACTTAAGCAATCCATGTTGAATTTATGACTTAAGCACTTAACTATAAATTTACCCTCTCCAGTTGTCTGATGATAATCAAAACTTGAAGCAGTTATCCATATTGGGATCTCTTTGGGGAATCCCAGCCACCAAAAGTTAGGTTTTCTTTAATATTTTTTCATGGAAGTTTTCAAATATACTCAAAATTGAAAGAATTATGTAATAAAGTCTCATGAGCCCATCACACATCTTCAATAATGAATGTACAGCATTGCAGTGTGGAGCTTGGCCTCTTGCTGACCACTCATCAATGTGGCAGAACCACTCCATGGTTCCCCATGGAAATGGGAACTACTTCAGTTCTCTTTTTACAGAAAAATTCAATAAATATCTACTGATTGTGCCCTACTTGTGACTTGAAGCCAGGTTGTTGTTGTTGTTTTTCTTTCTTTTTTTTTTTTTTTTTACAGTCTTGCTCTGTCACCCAAGCTGCAGTGCAATGGCATGATATCAGTGCACTGCAACCTCCAGCTCCTGGGTTCAAGTGATTCTCTCGCCTCAGCCTGCCGAGTAGCTGGGACTATGGGCATGCCCCACAATACCTGGCTAATTTTTGTATATAGTAGAGAGAGTTTCATCATGTTGCCCAGGCTGCTCTCGAACTCCTGAGCTCAAGCAGTCTACCCACCTCCACCTCCCAAAGTACTAAGGTTACAGGCATGAGCCACCATGCCAGCAAAGCTGGGTATTTCTTAAATTTGTTCAGTCAGGTGCAAGAAATTGTTTGCCCTACTCTGAAAGTTAAAAATATTCTAAGAGAATTATGGTTTCGCAGCTGAGGTTTTTTAAGACTTGAGCTCCCAGGACTCCTGCATATATCCTTAGAACAACATTGTCCAGTAGAAGTACAATGTGAGCCACGTTTTGTTTAACCCAGCATATCCAAAATATTACCCCTTTTGCATGTGCTTAATATAAAAAATTAAGATGATTTCTATTCCAGGTTTTCAATATTCAGTGAGTAATTTTACACTTAGAGCAAGTGTCATTTCAGACTAGTCACATTTTGAGTACTCAGTAACCACATATGGGCTAGTGGCTACCTTACTAGATAGCATAGCCTTTGGGTCCCACAAAGTGTTCACATTCTCTGTTTACACACATCTTTTGAAGTGTCATGAGAGAGAGCCAGATAGGATCCAGATTTTCTTTAAATCTGTTTGGTCTGTCTTACAGATTCCTAGTTGATTACTTCTTTGTTGCTTCTTATAGGGATGTATCAGAAGCTTAATAAACTCATGATTATTATGTTAACTGCCTGAAGTATTAATTTTAGCAATAAATTGAACTATAATTTTAATTTTTCAAGTAAATTTTCTTATGTGATTCTAAGTATTTCATATATACATGTATTAGAAGTAAATGGGAGTTTAGTAATGAATAGTATATAGTAGTTTGTGATGGTATTTTTCTGGTTTTTTTTTTTTTTAGATTGCAGCAAAAATTGGAGGTGATGCTGGGACATCACTGAATTCAAATGACTATGGTTATGGGGGACAAAAAAGACCTTTAGAAGATGGAGGTAAGTTATACTCATACGTATTTTAAATTGTTTTTCAGAGTGTTTAGTTGAAGTGGTTCTCAGTATGTTTTTGTTATTCTATTGAGACATTACTTTTATTATAAGGTTGTTAAAACTGTAAGGTGTATATTGGCCTAAAGAGGAGGGGAAGAGACCTAGAGAAGGTAAGTAAACCTTTCAGTCAACCAGAAAGTTTTGTCTTACTAGAAAACAGTTTATTTTCCCTCTTTTAGGATTGTGCCAGATTGAAAGTTTGCACAGACGTCTTGTTAATAATATTAAAAAAGCAAAAATATAAATTGCTTAGAAGACATTTCACTGGTTTTACTCATACATGAATGGATTTTAATATGCTGTGTTTTCGTCATTTTTCTATTTGCAATTACACTTTAAAGGTCGAAATTTGTATTGTTTGCTACTCTAGTGTGTTGCAGGTTATACCGTTTTTTTTAATGTTCTTTGCTTTTAGTACTTTTGTGTTTCACGTTTAGCTTTAAACCTATGGATTAAAACAGTGGGTTCACAGTGCTTTGTAGTTTTAAAAATCATAATCATTGAAGCTTCTGAACTTAGAAGTCTGCATGTATTTTTTGTTTTAGGTTTGATGTATGAGTTTTGATACATTTTCTTTTTACCTTTTTTTTAAAGGAAGGATTCTCACTGAGGCTATAGAATGCATTTGTAGCTTTTGACCAGGAGAACTTGGTTTCCTTTATTTAAGTGTCTTTCATATTTATAGTGAGGTTTTTAATATAAAAAAAAATGAGCTAATGATGCTTCAGATGTTGTATGTAATGTATTCTTTTTATTTTATGTGTAGATGGCTCTTGGACAAGTCCGAGCAGTACAACACACTGGGAGGGAATGCCCTCTCCTTTTAAAGGCAGGAATTTTTATTTATTACCTGTGTTCAGTATGTAAACGTGAAATAAACCAGTGGATTCTTAAATGGACACAAATATTTCTTGGATTATGTGTCTGAATTTTTGCTGCGCAACATTCTGATGGTTAATCATTTAAGTTTGAAGGGGGGAGGAGAATGTAGTACTTTGAGCTATAGGTTGTCTGTTCCAAGGTATGCATTGTATTCATCTGTGTAATGGATTTAGATGAAGGTAGTCATGTAGTTGCTTTGAGTTTTTTTTTTTTTTTTTGCTAAAGTTTTATGCTGTGAAATGTTTGTTTATAAATAATAGAACAGTTTAAGGTGAGATTGCCTTGTAATGTTGTGGGGGGGTTTTTCTTTAAATTTTTTGGGGCATAGCTTTGTGGTCACTGTCAGATACACTCAACTTTTAATATGTCAGATTTTCATAGTTTGATACGCTTTTTTCCCCCCAGTCTTCAGTTCCTGAGGTGGAAGCATCATTAGCCTTTAGCATGTGATATTTTGCTAGTAATGGACCTAAAGTACTTTGTCTTGTATCATTCTAATGTGCATAACATACATTAAGGTTAGTGATTTGTTAAGAATCAGATAACTATTTTAATGTCTGTGCATCTTTTGAATGTGAAGAGAATGAAGTATAGTTTCTTTTTTAGATTACTGAGTTTGTGTTGAATTTTGGCAGTTTTGGTTCAAATGATAAACCATACCTTCAGATATTTCAATAAATGTTTATATTGTTATTCTTGTTTGGGAGGGGAGAAGCATTGTACTTAATTGGAAAAAAATTAAAAGACACTTAATTTTGCAGATCAACCAGATGCTAAGAAAGTTGCGCCTCAAAATGACTGTAAGTATTCCTTTTAAACTGGGTCAAAAGCTATATTAAGATTTTGTTCATATTATCAGGTATCTTTGAAGTTAGTTGGTTTATGAGTATTTTGGATCAGCTAGCCTGAATTTCTTTGTAAATATGTACCTTTTTCTCCTATTTTACAATCTGTCCCATTAATTGTGGCCAGGTATATGTAAGGATTGGTTGCTGAATTATTTTACATATTTAACAACTCCAATTCTTGATCTATGCTTGTACAACTTGAAAAAGGAAATTATTGTTCTGTGCCATTGCTAATATAATGTCTTCCCTTTCATTGGCTCTCTTACCCCTGTCAGTGCCAATATAAATATTCTGTATAAAATTTGACTCTCTTCAAGGTGTTGTCTGTGCATTAGGGAAAGATTTTTGAATGTTTGATGTGATTTTGTTGTTAAATACATAAGTAACTTTAAATTTTGAATTTTCGTTTTATTTTTATTTAATTTTTTGATAGCTTTTGGAACACAGTTACCACCGATGCATCAGCAGCAAAGGTATAGTCACAAACTTTTCAAAAAGTACTCTGCAAGTTTTGGTTGAGCTGCATGTAAAAACACAACCACATTGGTGTATATTGAATATGTGTCTGTATTTTTTGGTGTACCTAGTTCATATCACTCCCCTTGGGAAGGTACCATAAAGTGATGATTTTTCTTTTGAGTGAGAAAAATTTGTGATTTGGGGAGAGAGATGGAATTAGCTACAGTTTAGAAGAACAGGGGTGAATTAGAGTAACTGTTAAGATGACATTCTCTAAACTCCACTCCAACTCCTTTATAGTTCATGCCGTCAGACTGTTCCATTGATCTTCTTCACTTGATGTATCATCTTAAAATTCTTAATTTAACTACTCAAGTAATAAGACCATATTTTTTGACATGAGTCTGAGCATAGAACCTTAGTTTAAGCCATTGGGAGACATTAGACTTCCATTTTTATTAATAGATTATCTTTTATTTGTGAACAAAGTATCTTTCACTGAAAGAAAAATGGTACTTTCTGTTACTTTTTAGCAGATCTGTAATGACAGAAGAATACAAAGTTCCAGATGGAATGGTTGGATTTAGTAAGTAACTTGATTTTTAAAGTTTTGAAAACATGATCAAAACATACTTTAGAATCTTTCAACCAAAAAAACTTTTTTTTTTCTAACTAGTAATTGGCAGAGGAGGTGAACAGATCTCACGCATACAACAGGAATCTGGATGCAAAATACAGATAGCTCCTGGTAATGTTACATTCTCTTGGTATTTTCAGAGTGACTAGAAAAGTAGCGCTTTTTTTATTCTTTTAGGTTTCTAGTACTAATAATGCTGCCTTTAATCTTTTGACCTGAAGTTCTATTTTTGTTTTAAATTGTAGACAGTGGTGGCCTTCCAGAAAGGTCCTGTATGTTAACTGGAACACCTGAATCTGTCCAGTAAGTTTGAAAATCTTTAAAATCGACTTAAAGTAACAACAGGAGAACTCTTTGAATTTTCTCTCTGTTCTTTGTTACTGCTTTATTTTACACTACTCTTTCGTTGCCTCCTTCCCTCCCAAGTCCTCTGACTCCTTTGAAGTTTATGCCTCATGCCTTTCTCAATTAGGGTTCGTCATCTGAATCATTAAACACAGAAAATGGTTAAAACAAGTTCATATCTACTCCAGTCTCTACTTGCAAAGCGAAGTGTATCCTGGAGGAGAATGCGCAGTAATGTTGACTGGTGACACCTAAAACTCACAGACATTAAGCTCAAGTGGACTGTTGTGTTGCCTGCATTTCCCTAGTTCCATTCACTTTTCCATTCCTCTCCAAGGCTCTTTAATACTATATTTCCCCATCTCCAAATCTTCAGCATCTAACCCCACCTCTCTCCTACTTAAGCTTATTTACGGAGAAAATGGAAACGAATGATAAGAAGCTTTTCTTTTCCCCTACCACTAAACCTGCCAGCCTTCTTTTTTTTTCTCTGTTCACATAGTACTCAGGTAATTGCTTTCCTTTGTGTTCATGTGCCTAAAGCCAGCCCTTTCTTCCTAGTTGTACTGTCTTCTGCGTTATTAGTTCCCCCTCTTTACTAGATTTTTTCTTTTCTATTTTTTGAGATGAAGTCTCACTCTGTTGCCAGGCTGGAGTGCTGGGGCACAATCTCGGCTCACTGCAACCTCCGCCTCCCGAGTTCAAAGGATTCTCCTGCCTCAGCCTCCCAAGTAGCTGGGACTGCAGGTGCATGCCACCACACCCAGCTAATTTTTGTATATTTTTAGTAGAGACAGGGTTTCACCATGTTGGCCAGGATGGTCTCAATCTCTTGACCTCGTTATCCACCCGCCTCGGCCTCCCCAAGTCCTGGGATTATAGACGTGAGCCACTGCCCCCAGCCTGATTTTCTTTATGGCACTTTCCAAATAATGCGTTATTCATTTGACATGTTATTTTTGCTTATTTTAATGAAACGAAGCCACTCCAGCAGGAACCCTCTTTGAGTGTTACTACCCCATTACCTAAAATAGCACTTGCACATGGTTGATATTTAAGTATTTGTTGAATGAATAATTGTAGCATATGAGTAAGCAAAATGGTAGTTTAAAAATGTAAATAAATAAATCATTTAGTTCTTGGAAGAATCAGTTTAATTCTGAGATAACTTTAGCATTGGAGTTCTTGGAAATTTTGGACTATTCTTAAAAATAAAAATTGTATATCTAGAAAATTTATTGCCTAATCTCTCAATCTTTGACCCTTGATGGCATTTTCTTTCAGTTAAAAGTAAAAACATTGTTAAAGTTAGCATTAAGGCACCTAATCCTGAATTGGGGTAGGAGGAGTACTTGGTTACATTGTTTTGTATTTCTTTATTTGAATAAACTTGGGTATGCTACAACTTATTATTTAAATATTAATTTGTTAACAGGTCAGCAAAACGGTTACTGGACCAGATTGTTGAAAAAGGAAGACCAGCTCCTGGCTTCCATCATGGCGATGGACCGGGAAATGCAGTTCAAGAAATCATGATTCCTGCTAGCAAGGCAGGATTAGTCATTGGAAAGGGGGGAGAAACTATTAAACAGCTTCAGGTATTGTTATGTTTGTGAAATGGCTACTTTTGGTCTGTTTTGATGCCCATTTTTGTCCGCTTCCTTTTGTTAATATGTATTATTTCTATGATTATAACAGGAACGGGCTGGAGTTAAAATGGTTATGATTCAAGACGGGCCGCAAAACACTGGTGCTGACAAACCTCTTAGGATTACAGGAGACCCATATAAAGTTCAAGTAAACTTAACTTTATACTTTATAAAGAAAGAGTTTGGGTTGAATGGGGTTGGGCAAAATATGCATGAATAATTAAAATGTTTTGAGACGTGCTTTCTAAATTAGCTAACTTTTTCTACTTTAGCAAGCCAAGGAAATGGTGTTAGAGTTAATTCGTGATCAAGGTGGTTTCAGAGAAGTTCGGAATGAGTATGGGTCAAGAATAGGAGGAAATGAAGGGATAGATGTAAGTAAAAATACCCATTCAGAAATGGTTGTATGCTAATTCATAAATATAGTAGTGTTTTCTGTTTTATGTTAAATAGCTCTAACATTGTTATCCTTTTATTTCACCTTTATACTTTAGAATACAGAATTAAGTATTTTATATCTTGTCACCCTATTTGCTATAAATATAAAATTATATGTACTATTATGATTTGAGGCAGATTTTCAGGAAATGGTGCTTTTTTAAAAATACTTTTTACTTTAAACCCTGAGAAGCCAGTTTTCTTAATACTTAGTCTTTTTTACATAAGGTCCCCATTCCAAGATTTGCTGTTGGCATTGTAATAGGAAGAAACGGAGAGATGATCAAAAAAATACAAAATGATGCTGGTGTTCGAATTCAGTTTAAGCCAGGTGAGTGCATATAATAATCTTGTAAGTGTTGGCAGCAATGAGTTTTGACATACATTTATTATTGTTATTTTTTTTAAATCTAAGTTCTAGGGTACATGTGCACAACGTGCAGGTTTGTTACATATGTATACATGTGCCATGTTGGTGTGCTGCACCCATTAACTTGTCATTTACATTAAATGTATCTCCTAATGCTATTCCTCTCTACTGTCCCCTCCTCACAATAGGCCCCAGTGTGTGATGTTCTCCTTCCTGTGTCCAAGTGATCTCATTGTTCATTGTCCACCTATGAGGGAGAACATGTGGTGTTTGGTTTTCTGTTCTTGCCACAATTTGCTGAGAATGATGGTTTCCAGCTGCATCCATGTCCCTACAAAGGACACAAACTCATCCTTTTTTATGGCTGCATAGTATTCCATGGTGTATATGTGTCACATTTTCTTAATCGAGTCTGTCACTGCTGGACATTTGGGTTGATTCCAAGTCTTTGCTATTGTGAATAGTGCTGCAATAAACATACGTGTGCATGTGTCTTTATAGCAGCATGGTTTATAATCCTTTGGGTATATACCCAGTAATGGGATGGCTGGGTCAAATGGTATGTCTAGTTCTAGATCATTGAGGAATTGCCACACTGTTTTCCACAATGGTTGAACTAGTTTACAGTTCCACCAACAGTGTAAAAGTGTTCCTATTTCTCCACATCCTCTCCAGCACCTGTTGTTTCCTGATTTTTTAATGATTGCCATTCTAGCTGGTGAGAGATGGTATCTCATTGTGGTTTTGATTTGCATTTCTCTGATGGTGAGTGATGATGAGCATTTTTTCATGTTTCTGTTGACTGTATGAATGTCTTCTTTTGAGAAGTGTCTGTTCATATCCTTTGCCCACTTTTTGATGGGGTTGTTTGCTTTTTTCTCGTAAATTTGTTTGAGTTCTTTGTAGGTTCCGGATATTAGCTCTTTGTCAGATGAGTAGATTGCAAAAATTTTCTCCCATTCTGTAGGTTGCCTGTTCACTCTGATGGTAGTTTCTTTTGCTGTGCAGAAACTCTTTAGTTTAGTTAGATCCCATTTGTCAATTTTGGCTTTTGCTGCCGTTGCTTTTGGTGTTTTAGACATGAAGTCCTTGTCCATGCCTATGTCCTGAATGGTATTACCTAGGTTTTCTTCTAGGGTTTTTATGGTTTTAGGTCTTAACATTTAAGTCTCTAATCAATCTTGAATTAATTTTCTTATAAGGAGTAAGGAAAGGATCCAGTTTCAGCTTTCTACTTATGGCTAGCCAATTTTCCCAGCACCGTTTATTAAATAGGGAATCCTTTCCCCATTTCTTGTTTTTTCAGGTTTGTCAAAGATCAGATGGCTGTAGATGTGTGGTATTATTTCTGAGGGCTCTGTTCTGTTCCATTGGTCTGTATCTCTGTTTTGATACCAGTACCATGCTGTTTTTGTTACTGTAGCCTTGTAGTATGGTTTGAAGTCAGGTAGCGTGATGCCTCCGGCTTTGTTCTTTTGGCTTAGGATTGTCTTGGTAATGCGGGGTCTTTTTTGGTTCCATGTGAACTTTAAAGCAGTTTTTTCCAGTTCTGTGAAGAAAGTCATTGGTAGCTTAATGGGGATGGCATTGAATCTATAAATTAGCAGTATGGCCATTTTCACAATATTGATTCTTCCTATCCATGAGCACGGTGTGTTGTTCCATTTGTTTCTGTCCTCTTTTATTTCACTGAGCAGTGGTTTGTAGTTCTCCTTGAAGAGGTCCTTTACATCCCTTGTAAGTTGGATTCCTAGGTATTTTATTCTCTTTGAAGCTATTGTGAATGGGAGTTCATTCATGATTTTGCTGGCTGGCTGGCTGTTACTGGTGTATAAGAATGCTTGTGATTTTTGCACATTGATTTTGTATCCTGAGACTTTGCTGAAGTTGCTTATCAGCTTAAGGAGATTTTGGGCTGAGACGATAGGGTTTTCTAAATATACAATCGTGTCATCTGCAAACAGGGACAATTTGACTTCTTTTCCTAACTGAATCCCCTTGATTTCTTTCTCTTGCCTGATTGCCCTAGCCAGAACTTCCAACCCTATGTTGAATAGGAGTGGTGAGAGAGGGCATCCCTGTCTTGTGCAAGTTTTCAAAGGGAGTGCTTCCAGTTTTTGCCCATTCAGTATGATAATTGGCTTGGGTTTGTCATAAATAGCTCTTACTATTTTGAGATACATTCCATCAATACCGAATTTATTGAGTTTTTAGCATGAAGGGCTGCTGAATTTTGTCAAACGCCTTTTTCTGCATCTGTTGAGATAATCATGTGGTTTTTGTCATTAGTTCTGTTTATATGCTGGATTACGTTCATTGATTTGCATATGTTGAACCAGCCTTGCATCCGAGGGATGAAGCCCACTTGATCATGGTGGATAAGCTTTTTGATGTGCTGCTGGATTCGGTTTGCCAGTATTTTATTGAGGATTTTTGCATCAATGTTCATCAGGGATATTGGTCTAAAATTCCCTTTTTTTGTTGTGTCTCTGCCAGGCTTTGGTATCAGGATGATGATGTCCTCCTAAAATGAGTTAGGGAGGATTCTCTCTTTTTCTATTGGTTGGAATAGTTTCAGAAGGAATGGTACCAGCTCCTCCTTGTACCTCTGGTAGAATTTGGCTGTGAATCCATCTGGTCTTGGACTTTTTTGGGTTGGTAGGCTATTAAATACTGCCTCAATTTCAGACCCTGCTATTGATCTATTCAGGGATTCAACTTTTTCCTGGTTTAGTCTTGGGAGAGTGTAAGTGTCCAGGAAATTATCCATTTCTTCTAAGTTTTCTAGTTTATTTGCGTAGAGGTGTTTATAGTATTCTCTGATGGTAGTTTGTATTTCTGTGGGGTCGGTGGTGATATCCCCTTTATCATTTTTTATTGCGTCGATTTGATTCTTCTCTCTTTTCTTCTTTATTAGTCTTGCTAGCGATATGTCAATTTCGTTGATCTTTTCAAAAAACCAACTCCTGGATTCATTGATTTTTTTGGAGGGTTTTTTGTGTCTCTGTCTCCTTCAGTTCTGCTCTGATCTTAGTTATTTCTTGCCTTCTGCCAGCTTTTGAATGTGTTTGCTCTTGCTTCTCTAGTTCTTTTAATTGTGATGTTAGGGTGTCGATTTTAGATCTTTCCTGCTTTCTCTTGTGGGCATTTAGTGCTATAAATTTCCCTCTACACACGGCTTTAAATGTGTCCCAGAGATTCTGGTATGTTGTATCTTTGTTCTCATTGGTTTCAAAGAACATCTTTATTTCTGCCTTCATTTTGTTATGTACCCAGTAGTCATTCCTGAGCAGGTTGTTCAGTTTCCATGTAGTTGAGTGATTTTGATTGAGTTTCTTAGTCCTGAGTTCTAGTTTGGTTGCACTGTGCTCTGAGAGACAGTTTGTTATAATTTCTGTTCTTTTACGTTTGCTGAGGGGTGCTTTACTTCTAACTACGTGGTCAATTTTGGAATAAGTGCAATGTGGTGCTGAGAAGAATGTATATTCTGTTGATTTGGGGTGGAGAGTTCTGTAGATGTCTATTAGGTCCCCTTGGTGCAGAGTTGAGTTCAATTCCTGGATATCTTTGTTAACTTTCTGTCTCGTTGATCTGTCTAATGTTGACAGCGGGGTGTTAAAGTCTCCTGTTATTATTGTATGGGAGTCTAAGTCTCTTTGTTAGTCTCTAAGGACTTGCTTTATGAATCTGCGTGCTCCAGTATTGGGTGCGTATATATTTAGGATAGTTAGCTCTTCCTGATGAATTGATCCCTTTACGATTATGTAATGACCATCTTTGTCTCTTTTGATCTTTGATGGTTTAAAGTCTGTTTTATCAGAGACTAGGATTGCAACCACTGCTTTTTTCCGTTTTCCATTTGCTTGGTAGATCTTCCTCTATTTTGAGCCTATGTGTATCTCTGCTTGTGAGATGGATCTCCTGAATACAGCAAACTGATGGGTCTTGACTCTTTATCCAATTTGCCAGTCTGTGTCTTTTAATTGGAGCATTTAGTCCGTTTACATTTAAGGTTAATATTGTTTGTTTTTTGTTTTTTGTTTGTTTTTTTTTTTTTGAGGCGGAGTCTTGCTCTGTCGCCCAGGCTGGAGTGCAGTGGCACTATCTCAGCTCACTGCAAGCTCCGCCTCCTGGGTTCACGCCATTCTCCTGCCTCAGCCTCCCGAGTAGCTGGGACTACAGGCGCCTGCCACCACGCCCGGCTAATTTTTTTTTTTGTATTTTTAGTAGAGATGGGGTTTCACCATGTTAGCCAGGATGGTCTCGATCTCCTGACCTCGTGATCCACCCACCTCGGCCTCCCAAAGTGCTGGGATTACAGGCTTGAGCCACCGCGCCCGGCCATTTAAGGTTAATATTGTTATGTGTGAACTTGATCCTGTCATTATGATATTAGCTGGTTATTTTGCTCGTTAGTTGATGCAGTTTCTTCCTAGCCTCAATGGTCTTTACATTTTGGCATATTTTTGCAATGGCTGTTCCTTTCCATGTTTAGTGCTTCCTTCAGGATCTTTTGTAGGGGAGGTCTGGTGGTGACAAAATCTCTAAGCATTTGCTTGTCTGTAAAGGATTTTATTTCTCCATCACTTACGAAACTTAGTTTGGCTGGATATGAAATTCTGGGTTGAAAATTCTTGTCTTTAAGAATGTTTAATATTGGCCCCCACTCTCTTCTGGCTTGTAGAGTTTCTGCTGAGAGATCCGCTGTTAGTCTGATGGGCTTCCCTTTGTGGGTTACCCGACCTTTCTCTCTGGCTGCCCTAAACAATTTTTCTTCATTTCAACTTTGGTGAATCTGACAATTATGTGTCTTGGAGTTGCTCTTCTTGAGGAGTATCTTTGTGGCGTTCTCTGTATTTCCTGAATTGGAATGTTGGCCTGCCTTACTAGGTTGGGGAAGTTCTCCTGGATGATATCCTGCAGTGTTTTCCAAGTTGGTTGCATTTTCCCCGTCACTTTCAGGCACACCAATCAGACGTAGATTTGGTCTTTTCACATAATACCATATTTCTTGGAGGCTTTCTTCATTTCTTTTCACTCTTTTTTCTCTACATTTCTCTTCTCGCTTCATTTCATTCATTTGATCTTCAATCCCTGATAATCTTTCTTCCAGTTAATCGAGTCGGTTACTAAAGCTTATGCATTTGTCACGTAGTTCTCGTGTCATGGTTTTCATCTCTTATCAGTTCTTTTAAGGTCTTCTCTGCATTGATTATTCTAGTTATCCATTCATCCATTCTTTTTTCAAGGTTTTTAGTTTCTTTGCGCTGGTTACGTAGTTCCTCCTTTAGCTCTGGGAAGTTTGATCCCTGGGATATAATCTCCTGGTGTACTGTTTGCTAAGACCCTTGGTAAAGCGCAGTATTAGGGTGGGAGTTACCCGATTTTCCAGGTGTTGTGTGTCTTAATTTCCCTTGGCTAGGAAAAGGAATTCCCTTCCCCCTTTCGCTTCCCAAATGAGGCGATGCCTCGCCCTGCTTCAGCTCTCACTGGTCGGGCTGCACCTGCGGACCAGCATCAACTGTCCGACACACCCCAGTGAGATGAACTTGGTACCTCAGTTGAAAATGCAGAAATCACCCTTCTTCTGTGTCGCTCATGCTGGGAGCTGGAAGCTGGAGCTGTTCCTATTCGGCCATCTTGGGTGCCACACCCATTTATTGTTTAATTAATTTTGTTTCTTTGTTTTGAAGATGATGGGACAACACCTGAGAGGATAGCACAAATAACAGGACCTCCAGACCGATGTCAACATGCTGCAGAAATTATTACAGACCTTCTTCGAAGTGTTCAGGTTTGATAGAAAGTTAACATTTTCATTTTTTGTTTTTATGGAAAAGTATTTTCCTTCATGAAATCTGAAGTTTCCTCTATATCAGAGTCTGCTTGATGATGGTTTATTAATGGAGAAAGTTTAAATTGCTTTAAGGTAAAGATCTTGGAGCAGGAAGAACTACTACCTTAAGTGCTACCTTATTTACTCTTGAATTTAAAAAAATGTTATTACTTATGATTATTTGGGCCAGTTCATCTCTACATTTATGGTTCAGGTATTTGAGAGCTGGGAAAAATAGACGTAATAATTTTATCATGGAAAAAAGTATTTCTGTGCCAATTTTTTTCCTTCTTGTCTATTCCTCTCTATAGGCTGGTAATCCTGGTGGACCTGGACCTGGTGGTCGAGGAAGAGGTAGAGGTCAAGGCAACTGGAACATGGGACCACCTGGTGGACTACAGGAATTTAATTTTATTGTGCCAACTGGGAAAACTGGATTAATAATAGGAAAAGGCAATGTATTTTAAACTCTTAATGTTTAACACATTATTCATTTTTCTGGACACTATTTCTGTTGCTGTTGTAAACCAGTGGCAATGCTTTTTCTCTGGCTGTGTTTTAGTAGAAAAGCATTCTTATGTTAATACGTAACAAGTAAAACATAAATGAAGGATCTAATGTATATTTATAAAAAGAGCAGGATTTTAATCTTACTAGCTTCTAGAGAAAGTGAACTAAGATAATTATTAGCATAAGAAAGGTCTTTTGACCCAAAAAGTTGTTTGAGTGTTTTTGTTTGTGCATTTTGGTTTTTCCCGACTCATATTTTAAAAATTTGAATTTTTATAAGTGTATTAGTTTATATTTACACTGCTTTTAAAAGCAGTTTATTCAAATATTTTATTATAATCACATTAAGGTTAAGTTTAAACATACTAAGTAAATGTAAATGTATTTTAAGAGAAGCATGAAATGCTTCCTAAAATTTGATTTAAAGTGTAGAATATTAAATGAAAAATCTTAATACAATACTGTCAAGTAGAATACTGACTGACCAAACCATCTTTTTAATGGCCCATTTAATTGTGACCATTTTCTTCTAAATAGCTCCTAGTATACCCTTGAAACCTTTAGAGAAATTACTGTCTTTTGATTTTAGGAGGTGAAACCATAAAAAGCATAAGCCAACAGTCTGGTGCAAGAATAGAGCTTCAGAGAAATCCTCCACCAAATGCAGATCCTAATATGAAGTTATTTACAATTCGTGGCACTCCACAACAGATAGATTATGCTCGGCAACTCATAGAAGAAAAGATTGGTGTGAGTATACTTTAAACTTTTAATATATAGTGTAGACCGTTAGATTGTAGTTAAATTAAGACATTTATTCAAATACATCAAAGGAAAACATATAATTACTAGTCTGTATTTATAGATTTCGTGATACCTATAATAGATACAATGTGAAGATTTTCCAGCAATGAAAATAACCTAATTAAATGTGCAGTTACAGGTTTTGAGAACAACCTTACGTTTGAGTGTGGATAGATAGGAGGGTGCAGGCATCATATTAGTGTTATTGTAGGATTGTGGAACATACTTGAAGGACATAGTTAATGGGAATTCATTATTTATTAAGATTTTACTTTACTGAACCCCAGCAAGGCAAACAAGATAAATCAGATGCATCTTCTGCTCTGCAGTAGAAATTCATAAATCCTAGCTTTCGGACTGGCTCACAAATCATCTGGGGGTTTTAAAATGTAGACTATTTGGGTGCTTCCAACTCCTACACATAATATACAGAGGACAGACCTGACTCAAAATTTCTGGGATAGGGCCCAGCATCTGATTTTACACAGATGTTTGGGTTTTTTTCTCCAGAAAAGTTTTCTGTTAGAACAAAAAGTATAAAAAGCTTTGACTGCTTTTTTGTAAATGAGGCAGATGGTGTCTTACTGGAGTTTTTAACACAAAGTGTGCAGGGAGCGTCTTAAATTATTAATCAGAATTTCCTAGGAAAAATTAGTTTTGGTGTTTGCCATGCTGTGAATGGAGTGCCTGCAAAACAAGGTTGACGCTGTTTCTGTGTACTTGGGAAGACAAATAGATGTACAAAAGATGCTTAAGGAACATCTTATAAAATGTACACAAACATTGTAAGTTCTGTTGTATGGATAGTTTAATTGTTCAAAAAATGAAGATGTTTGTGGAGTAATGATAGGAGGTTGATGCCATGGCAAAAAAAATGAATAGCACATCTTGGTTTTTGATTTTACAGTATTAGCCTCACATGCATGGATCAGGATTTCTGTTGGATTCATGGTAAAACAAGATAGATTGTTTTAGAGAAGCAATTTGGTGTGGTGATTAAGAGCACGGACTCTGGAGTCAGGTTCAAAATTCTGTGAATCATTTACTGGTTCTGTGACCTTGGAGAAGTTGCTCAGGCTTTTCTGTGCCTTGGTTTCCTCCTATAAAATGAGGATAATTGTATCTATTTCATAGAGTTGTAGGGATTAAATGAACGTTCACGTGTGTGTCACTTAAAAGAATGCCTGGCACATAGCCCTAAAAAATGTTGCTACTTTTTCAGTATTATTTTTACTATTTGGAAAGAATAGATAATGGATAATAAGTGAGAGCTGACAGCAATTGGAGACTTAAAGAGACAAGTTAATAAAAAGAACTTTAAAGGTCATGAAGTTTAGTTTCCCTATTTTGCAGTGAGAAATTTACAACAAAATATAGTGTTACCATTTTGTCCAGCATGTCGCCTGGTTGTGTTAACTACTCAGAAGGAGCATTTGAGGACAGTTAAGTGTAATGTCTTTGTTGGCTTAACAAAACAGAAATCAGTTAAGCATTATTAATTATGATGTGGCATGCATGCATGATAAGGATATAAAATATCCTGATTTATTGAAGGACTTAAAAAGGGAATGTTTGTGCTGTTTAGAATTATGATACATGAAAGGCCAAAAAGGATATAAATTATTGATCTGAATGGGGTTTCAGTGACAGAAATAGGTTGTGAGGTGGAGTTTGGTTTAATAGTGAACCAACTAGCTGTTAACATTATCAATGAAGTGTTCAGAAGACAATTGATGATATAGGACCCAAGCAGTTTGGGAATATATTGTCAAGATGGTTGTCTTATGTTAGGCAAGTAGATGTAGAGAGAAGAGCTGAAGATAAGGACCTGATTTCTGTGATTAAGATGAAAAAAGTTAGTAAAAGAAAGAATTATAAAAGGAAAGGGATCTACTGCTGTCGCAGACAAGCTAAAGGAAATTTAATTGCTAATTTTAATTTAATTTAAATTGCATTTAATTGCTACCGCTATTGATTTTAGTAAATTTCACATGTCTCATTATTATTGCAGATAAAATAGTTTTTGCAAAATGAATGAGGAAAGGAAGGAAAACCTAAAATTTGTTGTTTGTGACTATAAGAGGGTAGAAATGGAAGATTATTTGTCCATAGAGTTGTTTAACCATTACTGTGTTTTTTCTGATTTTTCTATGTCTTCCTTTTTTTTTTTGTAGGGCCCAGTAAATCCTTTAGGGCCACCTGTACCCCATGGGCCCCATGGCGTCCCAGGCCCCCATGGACCTCCTGGGCCTCCAGGGCCTGGAACTCCAATGGGACCATACAACCCTGCACCTTATAATCCTGGACCACCAGGCCCGGCTCCTCAGTAAGTATTGGGTTTAGTTCTGGGCTTTCCCCCAAAGATTCTAGTTTTTGGACTTTATTTTTATACTGAATTTTCTTCTCAGTGGTCCTCCAGCCCCATACGCTCCCCAGGGATGGGGAAATGCATATCCACACTGGCAGCAGCAGGCTCCTCCTGATCCAGGTAAAAAGATGCTTATCATTTGTGTGTTAGCTGTATTGTTTTTCACTCGTGTTACATTATTAAATTTTCTAGTGTTGATTCTACATTTGTATGCCTCACCTTCACTCACTCTACTCTTTCAACAGCGTTAGGCACTGCCTCTACCCCAGTGTATATAGAACTGACATGAATATGATCTCTGCTTTTATGGAATTCCTTTCAGCTTGCATTTGGCTTTCTTATGAGTCGATATAGCAGAATGATAAAAGCTAAAAGCTGCAGGAAAGAGCACAGTGTCATAGGTTTTGGATACCAGTGCTATCAAATATATAGTGTGTTAACTGTGACATTATCTATGAAAAAATAGTTTTTACTTATTTAGAAAATTATGGGATGGGGCCGGGCACTGAGGCTCACATCTGTAATCCCACCTGTTCAGAAGTCGAGGCTGAGGCTTGAGACCAGCCTAGGCAACATGGCAAGACCCATCTCTAAAAAAATTTGTTTTAAATTAGCCAGCCAGGGTGGTATGTGTCTGTATTTCTAGGGGCTCAGAAGGCTGAGCAGGGGCGGGGGGATTGCTTGAGGCTAGAAGTTCTAGATTGTATTGAGCTGTGGGTGCACCACTGCACTCCCCTGGGCAACAGAATGGGACCCCATCTCTTAAAAATACATATATATGTATATATAAAACAGTCTTACAGAGTGTTAAGTATTTGGGCATAAAACTCCCAAATTGTCAAATAAGATATCGGTTCTAGTACTCCTCATAATGACAACTTCATGTGAGTAAAAATCAGGCCTGTATTTAATAACTGCATGCTAAAACCCAAATACATTTAATTATTTTCTATATTCAGATCTGGATTTTCGATATGTATATATTATATCCTGTACTATTCTGGCATCTTTCCATACCCTGTAGTTTGCTTTCCATCTTGGTCAAAGAGTCATTCTTTGAAACCAGTTAACATTTATTTATGATCCTTTTTTTTCACCTGCTACCTACCTTTTAGGCCTCTTTCACCAGAGTAGTTTCAAGGAAAATATACTTAATTATGGATTACTTTCTACACATAATATATTTATCCCAAAAAAACTTGAAGTAATTTATGTAAATGAAATTACTTGGTTGATTTCATAGGAAGTGTGCTGTTTGGAATATGATGGCACAGCATGATAGTTACCAAATAATCACAACTTCCATTAATTCAAGGAATGACTTGAGTTGTGCTAGGATATAAGTATGCAAAGTTGGGGTTGTGTTCTATAGCAAAAGAATGCACTCCCAGCATACCAACACTGATAGAAGGGCTCACAGGGTACAGAATATAATACTGTAAACACTAATTTTTGGAGAATGAAAGGGCTTTGCTTTTCCTCTTGTTGGCTAATTGGGATGGTATAATTAAGTAATGAGATTGAAGAGTTTGAGTAGGTTAAGAGGCAGATTCATACTGGGTAACTTGGATCTGCCAGGATTGTATTTTTGAGCACTACTGGGTGGTTAGCATGATTGAGAAAAAATGATGGGAATAAGAAGTGGAAGTGGTCTTTGTATCACATGTTGAGTTTCCCACTTGGAGTAGTAGTGAAGTCACTACTATAAAAGCTGGTCAGTGAATGTGTTTGCAGCATGGCCTTTCGGCAAGAAGTAACCCATTTAAAACCAGCCGGTTGGCCCCACTCAGATTTATCAAAGGGTTACTGGGTCTCTGGGGTGGATATTGCTTATATTAGATTTAGAATGACGTAACGTTTTAATGTATGAACTAAAATATTTCTTTAAAAAAAGAGTGGTGTGTTACGGATTTATGTAGTGGTCAAGAATTTAGACTTCAGAGTCAAATAGACCTAGATCAGTCCTAGTCCTACAGTTTACTAATGGTGAGATGTCAGGCAAGTTTTTGAACTCCTCTAAGCCTGTTTTCTTATCTATAAATTGATCAATGAATGAATCTTGGGTTGAGTGAATATTTAGTAAATTCTTAGTACATACTAGTTATTTGTGAGACTGGTACTTCAGTATGGTTTACACGTTTGGGTGTAGAAATAACACTTCCTAAAGTCTGTTTTATCTCAAATTCTCTGTCCAGGCATAGTGTAAAGTGAAATACCTAGATTTCTTGATTAATATACAGATAATGGCCGGGCGCCATGGCTAACACCTGTAATCCTAGTACTTTGGGAGGCTGAGGTGGGCGGTTCACTTGAGGTCAGGAGTTGGAGACCAGCCTAGGCAACATGGCGAAAACCTGTCTCTACTAAAAATACAAAAATTAGCTGGGTGTGGTGGCGGGTGCCTGTAATGCCAGCTACTTGGGAGGCTAGGACAGGAGAATTGCTTGAGAATCGCTCCACTGCATTCCAGCCTGGGCAACAGAGTGAGACACTTCATCTCAAAAAATAATAATAAATACAGATAATGACACTATTGAGATATGTAAACATCCAGGATACAAAAGCAGTACATTGGGCAATTGAGAAAAGCTTGGAGGGTGTCCTAATAACACCTTACAATTATATTACCTTGTAGTTTTCTTTTTCTAGAAATTCTCACTCCTTTTTCTCAAACTTGACTAACCTTTGTTAAGCAGCTGAGAATTGCTACTGTTCAGAATGAAAGCATAATAGAAAATTTAAAAGTTTTAATTGTATGATATTCCTAGTATAAAGGACAGAATCAAGTTTTTTTGTGGTTTCTAGAAGATTGAGAGGTCTCAAACTGTTTGCACTTCAGTTGATGTGGGAGATGAGTGAGGGTCAGTCAAGTGTAGAGGAAACATAACATAGCTAAAAGCTGAGACATGGGCATAGTGATTTCTGAAAAGTACAAGCACTGTATTGTGGCTGGAGCTTGGGTGTTAAAGAGATACAAACGAAGGGAGAGGTGAGGCTGAAATGGAAAGGATAAGCCAGGGGATTCAGACTGTTAAAGGTGTTGATTGATAGGCTGTACTTAAGCTTTGACCATCCTGAAGATTCTAGAGAATGAAGAATTTCAAGTAGGATGACATCAAGTTTATAACATTCAATGTGAAATAGGATGAAATGTGGCTAATCTTTTTTTAAGATTTTTATATTTTCTCTTCATTGAAAATAAGGACAAAGTTCGTTGTTCTAAAATAATTGTTTCTTTCTTACGCAGGTTAGCCCCTAGAAATGTTTTTCTTAAGTCATCTTCCAGATAGAGCTGTTTGTGCTTGAGGCGAAACCAATTTAGAAAAAAACAAGGGCACAGGATGGTTTGAGACAGAGCATTGGATTTGGAGCCAAAAGACCTTTATTCATATCCCAGTTATGCAACTCAGTAGTTTTTAACCTGGGAAAGTCACTTGGTCTCTGAGCCTTGGTTTTCTTTAATAAAAGCTGATGGTAACAACAAAAATAATAGAAAATATAAAAGTTTTCATGTACTTTTTTTTGATGTTCTAGTTAATTTTGAGAGCTGTCTATTTGCCAGAGAGCTGGGTGTGTGTGTGTGTGTCTGTGTGTGTGTGCGCGCGCGCTCTTGTGAGAATTACAGACTTCAACATGCAAACCTTGAACTTTCATTTATTCTAGCTAAGGCAGGAACGGATCCAAATTCAGCAGCTTGGGCTGCTTATTATGCTCACTATTATCAACAGCAAGCACAGCCACCACCAGCAGCCCCTGCGGGTGCACCAACTACAACTCAAACTAATGGACAAGGTAACTAAAGAACTTATATGTGAAAGTCAAAACTTGTGCTTGGAATTATATATGAAGTACATCACTGTATAATACCTAAAATTTCTAACATTATTTAATTATAATTTAAGCAGACTTTTCCTTTTTCAAATTGTTACCTTGAAATAGTTTCAAACTTTCATAAGAATACCAGGAGCCACCCATATAGCCCAGCTGTTAATGTTTTATCCCTTGTTTACTCTAATACCGTCTATATCATACAAGTGTATGGGTGTGTATTTATTTTAAATATCCATTATAATTAGTTCTGAAGGAAACTAATTATATCCAGTATAATTAGTTCTGAAAGAAATCATTTAAGACTGAACTATAGACACAATGTCCTGTTGGGTACTTCTTCAAAAATATATAACCATCATACAGCCCTCCAAATCAGTAAGTCAACATTAATATATTAAGCTCTTTATATCATTATGGATTTCTGATTTTTGCAATGGGTTATATTTTTTGAATATTTTTATAATTTTGATAATCAGATTATCCTAGATTTGGCCAGTCAGGGAGTATATTCAGGGTGGTGCCTATATCCTTTTGAAATATCTGTTGTTATTTTAAGCACTTCCATACTGTCTGGCACAGTGAGATTGTTATTTTGTGTTTTATGGGCTCCAACCCTTAAGTCAGCTATTTCTTCAAGGAGCTCTGATTCCTTTTAGTAGAGTATGGTAGTTAGAAACGGGACTTGACTATGTTTGTTGCTACTGAGGTGTAATTGCTTCTAACTTCTTTCAGCAGACAGAACTAGGAAATATATTTACATACATGCATACCTACATACACATGCCAAAAAACACACAAACATTGATATGTGTATATATTTTTTAAAACTATGTTCATATTACGACATTCATTTCAGCATTTTGGAGTTTTCAAGCCTTTTCCTTTTTTGTACTTGTTTACAAATGGTGGGAAACCTGGTATCCTCAGTGTATCTCCTTATTTGATATACATTTACTTATATGTTCGACATAACCAGTCGTCCAGACAGGTTGGTTTTCTTTTCTGTCCACCACCTCTGTACCCCCAGTACCTTCTATCTTTGGCACCAGTAGGGATGCCACCACCACATAGTACCTTCCTCCTACCCCTCACTGTCACATTGCAGGCCCCTGCCAGCTCCTGCACCCAAGGAAACAGCTAAAATTGCCTTTTAAAAACTTTAATTCTGTTTTTCTGTTTTGTTTTGTTTTGCTTGATCAAGGAGATCAGCAGAATCCAGCCCCAGCTGGACAGGTTGATTATACCAAGGCTTGGGAAGAGTACTACAAGAAAATGGGTATGTTTTATACATTTCTTGAAAATACATACTTAATTAAATTGAAACACAAGTTATTCTCTTCAGGAAGAGAATAATTGAATAAAATCACTGGACTCGTAAACATACCAAGACAGTTGCAAATTATAGTTTTTAAATTTGTGGTTATATAGCAGGGAAATATTTTTCTTTCTGATTGCATTTGTCAACCAGTTATTAATTGAAACTAGAAATTTCCTCACTGGCACATACAGTATTAACATTACTATACTTTTGACAATGACAGTTATATATATTAGTCTGAATGACATAAGGTTAAATTTTAATGTGTCAGGTGAAAATAGATTGTGTGTGATACCATTATTTTTGCTGCAAGATAAACAGGTAAGAAGTAATCTGCAGTGAGGGAAAGTAACTAAGTGGTGGAACCAGAATCTGGCTTCCAAGAGGGTCTGAGTCCCAAGCTTGTCTCCCAAATTTGTCTCTTTAGGGACCATTTGGAACCTGGTACTATACTTCTGGACAAATCACTATGTTTCAGCTGCTTTTGCTCTTTAAAAATTATTACATACCACAGCTAGATGTCACAAACGAAAACTAAATTGGTAAGCTTGGTTATCCTTCACTAGCAGAAAAAGAATCTATAGGTGGTAGTTTTGTCATAAGAGATCGGTCTACTTGGGATTCTCAGTGTAAATTTCAATGTTTTCTTTGCCAAAGAATGTTTCTCATTCTCCGCAGAAAGAAAAATTTCCAGAAGGGTGATGATTTTAATCTTCTAGGTGTAAAATTATATATACTTGATGATAAAGATGTTCTGCACAACTGGTTTCTTTTTAAAGAAAGAAAAAAATTGTTTTTCCTTATAGAGTGGCTTCCTAGAAGAGTCATGTTCCATCTATTTCTGAGACTATAACAGATTAATATATGTTTTTGTGACGTAGCTTAGGCAGATCTACAGTAGCTAAAATTCCGCAAAAAGAAACTTTTAACTTAAAAACAGCATACTCTGATTAAGGTTGGTTACATAATATATTTTCTGAACTGGGATCCTTTTTAGAATGAATAGGGATGCTATTAATAATCATGTCCTGACAACATTTTGGTCAGGACCTGTAATCAACTTAACTTCAGTGAATTAGCGTCACCATTTTAAAAGACTTGAGCATGAGCCACATGCAGTAGCACACACTTGTAGTCCCAGCTGCTAGGGAGGCTAAGGTAGAAGGATCCCTTGAACACAGGGGATTGAGGCCAGCCTTGGCATCACAGTGAGACCTGATCACATGTTTGGGTTAAAAATCTTCAACTTCTATTTTCTCAATGGGTAATGTTCCCTAGATATGGTCCCGAGTTATTAAGTTATTAAGTAGGTAAAAATAAAGGCTTGTTAATGGATTTAGCTAATTACTGAGGAATGAGTTTGACTTCTGTGCTTTATTTTACCTTATTGATTATTTGTAATACGGCTATTAATACATTTACTGTTTAGTCTTCTATGTTTTACTTTATGTTTTACTCAAAATGAGTGGGTGGGTTGAATTCTGATTTTTATTGTTAAGGGAAGAAATTCTAATTTTCATTGTTAAGGGAAGAAATTATTGTCTTTAATTTTTTTTTTTCCACCATTTCCCTGCCAGTTAGAGATACTATGCTATACTATCTTAAATCCTCTGTAGGAAAACATGGCATAGAAATAATTAAATAATAATACTGCATGACTAAAGAACCTCCTTACCCCACCTTTTCTATCGTTTTTCTGTAGTACCACAATAATCACCTGTTAATTTTATTTATTTATTTGAGAGGGAGTCTCACTCTCGCCTAGGCTGGAGTGCAGCGGCATGATCTCAGCTCACTGCAACCTCCGCCTCCCAGGTTCAAGCAATTCTCCTGCCTCAGCCTCCCAAGTAGCTGGGCTTACAGACGCCCGCTACCACGTCTGGCTAATTTTTTTGTATTTTTAGTAGATACAGGGTTTCATCATGTTGGCCAGGCTGGTCTCAAACTCCTGACTTCAGGTGATCCACCTGCCTCAGCCTGCCAAAGTGTTGGGATTACAGGCATGAGCCACCACACCCAGCCTGACCTGTTAATTTTATGAACAAAATAGATTAGTTGAAAACAGATGTAGGTTAAGTTTTCCAAAATTAGATTTATATTTTAAAACAATTCTAAATTCCCCAGGATAACACCAAACTAAGATAATTTTTTTTTTTTTTTTTTTTTTTGAGATGGAACCTCTGCCTGTCGCCCAGGCTGGAGTGCAGTGGCACAATCTCGGCTCACTGTAGCATCCATCTCCCAGGTTCAAGCAATTCTTCTGCCTCAGCCTCCCAAGTAGAGAAAATCTTGATAAGATTTCAGAGAGTTATAAGGAATGGCAGCAATATAAAGATGGGTATTTTTAAAGCTAGAATAGAGGGATTTTTTTATAAGAGACCCTTAAGAGAACAAGCAGGGTTTCAAAGTAGAAAGGAGTAATTCTTTTTTGGAGAAGTGAAGACATTTGAGAAAAGTTTGACTTAAGGAAGGCCCTTATAATAAGGACTGATGTAGTAGACTCTGAACCCTTAAGAGTCTGGTACCTTAAGCCTAAAGGAGGGTAGAGTGAGACTTGTAGGAAAGGTACAGGTATATAGGAAGACAACTGAGTGTGAAAATCTATTCAAGCAAGGCTGACTGTTAGGCTATAATAAAATCTTACAGGCTAACTGTAGAGCAAGTCTTTTATCTTTTGGATGAAAGAAATTTAAGGCTGAACTTTATAGATTTTAATTATAAAACTATAATAAATATTAGATAATGTTCTACTGAAGTGTAAACTCAACTGTCTTGAATCAAACAGTAACTAAGCCATGATCACACCACTACCACTGTGTTCCAGCCTAGGTGACAGAGCAAGACCCTGTCTCAAAACAAAATCCAGTAACTAAAGAGAATAATAAGGGGAGCAAGGTAAGGCAGTACATGTCTGAAAGGGCAAGGAAAGAGTTCTTTAAAGTCTAAAGTGTTTACTATTAGCTTTCCACAGGGATATGGGAGTTTGCAGAGGTTGTAGTTGCCAACAAGGCCAATTTCCTAGTTTCAGAAACCTGTCCATCACCATTGTAAAACAGGTGACAGAATCAAAGCAACTGAGTGAAAGAATTTAAGATTTATGATTCTTTAAAAATGCATGAAACCCTCTTTTCTTGGGTAACAGAGAACTCTCATAGACTATTAAAAATTCTCATATTTTCCTGTCTTCTATAAAGAACTGTTAATCAAAGAGGAACATTTGCCTCTTACAAGACACAATTCAAGCAAATCTGAAACAGGTTTCAATATTTAAAAAACTGCCAAATACTCTGGTTTAACAACAGCAATAAAACCACACGTTTTCTCTTACAAGCTGCACACTTGAAACCAAACCTGATCAAGGTACCAATCAATATTCTTCAGGTTTTAAACCCACTGTGAGAGTTACTCATTTTAGATGTAAGACGGTAGAAACAGGCATATTCATCAAGAAAATTCCATCAACGTTCCCTTAAAAAATAAAAAGTGATCCACCTGCCTTGGTCTCCCAAAAGTCCTGGGATTACAGGTGTGAATCACTGTGCCCAGACATTGAGTTTCTTTAGAGCCAACTGTCTTGTCTGCAACTTACATTGAAATGGTTCATACAGAAAAACGTACATATAAAGCACATGCAGCAAACTTTAAAAAAATGATGAATGAAGCTGAGTGGTACCTAATTTCCCCAATTTCTGAAGGTATATAAACAAAGCCAAGTGAGTTACAAATGAAATAAAATAGTGCTTAAGTAAAGCAACTGAATAGGAAAACACATCTCTCTTCTCAATTTTTTATTTAGAAAATTATATACCTGAAAGTATCACAAACATACAGACTATATTTAAATTTCCATAGTTGTCAGGAATATGTCTTTCGTCGTCTGTGTGTTTTGTTAAATTCAGAGTGCATTCAAAGATTCGTGCATTGCATTTCATTGTTATATTTCTTTAGTCTCTTAATTCAGCAAAGTCACCTCATTTGGAAAAAGACCTGATCGTGAAAGCTGAGTTTTATGTGTTTCATCGATCTTGTTCTTTATTCCTTGTCAGGTTACTTTTAATACCATTGTGTTGTAATTGGAATAAATTATTGATACTTTTAACATCTTACTAATCTCTGTGTGTGTGTGTGTGTGTACATGTATATGTACATACACTTTATAGGTTACTAATCAGGAAAAAGTCTTGGCTAGGTCTTAAAATAATAAAATCTTTAAATCATTGCAATTAAGTGGGTTTTTTTGTTTTTAATTCTGGAATCCAATTCAAGATTATGCCTAAACCTTTACCTTCCTTAGCTAAAGCAGTGTGGATTTGGGGTTGATTTTGTTTTTTTACTAATAATGACGCTCTAGAACTAAACATTATGATTAATTATAAGGCAAAAAGAAAATAAAGAGCTTTTTTTTTTTTTTTTTTTTTTAATTTTAGAGTAGTTTCCTGACACTACTAATGAATATTTTAAATAAAACAGGAGTAATTCTGACCCTTTGTGCTTTTGTCTTATGATTGTAATTTAATATTAAAATTTAGGGGGGTTTTTTTAGGTCAACAAGGGCAGACACAAGATTATTCAAAGGCTTGGGAGGAATATTACAAGAAGCAAGGTATTGTTTTTATTGGAAATGAGATGTTGGACTTTTAATTGTGGTTACAGCAACAAAATTATTATTTTTTTTTTTTTCCAAGGTCAAGCAGTTCCTGCTCCGACTGGGGCTCCTCCAGGTGGTCAGCCAGATTATAGTGCAGCCTGGGCTGAGTATTATAGACAACAAGCAGCCTATTATGCCCAGACAAGTCCCCAGGGAATGCCACAGCATCCTCCAGCACCTCAGGTATAATGTAATTGCTAATTTGTTGATTTCTACTCCAGTCTGTTTTCTGCATGTTTACTGTTTGTCTGTTTGGGAGTGTTTGCCTTTTAAATTTTTATCTGGCAAAGTATAACTATTTAAATGAAGTACTACGGTGTATTGTTTGGGTTTTTTTGTTTGTTTTTTATAATGTTTTCTGGCATCTGAGTGCTGAATATTTCTGCAATGCCTTTGATTTTAAAAATAAATTTTCTTCCCCCAGGGATTTGCAAATCATGCAAGAAGCTACCACCATTTATATTAACCAGTTTTTCTTTCTTAAAGGATTCACTCCTGAATTAGCTCCATTTCAAGGATTTTCTTTAACTTTTTGTGTATTTCTTATGTATCTCTTCTGCACAGGGCCAATAATAAGAAGTGGACAATACAGTATTTGCTTCATTGTGTGGGGGAAAAAAACCTTTGTTAAATATATGGATGCAGACGACTTGATGAAGATCTTAATTTTGTTTTTGGTTTAAAATAGTGGTTTTTTTTTGTTTTTTTTTTTTTTGTTTTTTTTTTTTTTTTGCAAATGTACAAAATATCTATCACTACTGATAGGAGGTTAATATTTCTGTGTAGAAATGAAAATTGGTTTGTTTTTAGTATTTAGTGTAGATGTACACATTCCAGCAAATGTATTTGCAATTATGTGGTTGATGCTTTGTGATATAAATGTACTTTTTCAATGTATACTTTCACTTTTAAAATGCCTGTTTTGTGCTTTACAATAAATGATATGAAACCTCCTGTGTCGGTAAGTTGGATATGTGGGTATTTAAAGGATTCATAATTTCTTAGCAATGATAAATTAAGATACATATACACAAATATATAAGCTTTCCCCATGAAATATTGAGTTTTTAAACACTGGCATGTTTTTCCCCCCTTGCAGTATAGTGGTAGATTGGAGGATCTTTTCCATTTATTGTATTTGGCTCTTTCAGCACAAGTAATCCTGGTATCTTCATTTTTTTTCCTTCTGTTTGATTAAAAACTGCATGTGTGTACAATGATCTTCTGGCATACTTCCATTGCATTAACAGTGAAATTTCCTTTTTATACATGACCACTGTTTCAGACCTGTACTGCTGCTATAACAGTTAACCTTTCTGTTCTTAATTTGATAATACTTGATTTCCAAGACTGTTTCGGCATAACTAATTTTAAACAGTTTTCAGATAGTGAATATGAGTAGTCTAATAAGAACAGTTTTTTTTCCATGTAAAGCAACTCTTTCAATGTATATAATAGTGTGTTTCTTTCTAAATTTAGGATAGAAAAGTGAATAGTGTGCAAAAAGTATAGCTACATTGCATCTGCCATTGAAACATAAATGGGGTATGGAAACGTTCAAGCTTTTTTTTTTTTTCTTTAAGCAGTATAGATAAGCTTTGTTTTGTAAATGCACAAGTCCAATCATTGAATCAACTTAATTTTTTTATGTACTTGAAGTCATTTTATTACTCTTTAACACTCATGCTGAAGTTCTGATATTTTGTTGAAATCCATTGTTTTACTCTTTGCATATTTGTTGGCTCTTTGCATATTAATATATTAGACTACATGCAAATACAGTCTGTCTTGCCATTGTCTGTTGAAGTGCAGGTTTGATCCAGCCAGTATAGAACTAGCTCTGTAGGGGTGAGGAGGACTGTGCTGTGTATCATCCTTGATTGTGTTCCTTCAAGGAGCATTGCACTGTAAGTACATCAGAATGACAAATTGATGAACTGCAACAGTATCTTTTTGTCAATGTTCCACATAATGCAAATGCCATACTTTGTGTGAATATTATGTTGGAATACAGTGCTGATATCTTGGAAAACCATAACTGCTTCTTAATTTAACATAGAATAATACATAGTTCTGTATTTTTTTTAAAGTGAGCTTAATGGGTAAGTATTTTTTATATGCTTTAGCTATAGCTAAAGAAAACTGATACTTAACAAAGTTGAATAGTATTATTCACTGGTGCTCCTGAAATATTGTTTTTCAGTGTAAAATATGCATATATTCTATATTTAATATGAAAGTTTTGAAATGTATCAGACAGAAGGGGATTTCAGTTTGCAAATAATGAGCAATGTAGCAATTTTAACACATTTCATAAATATATATTTTGTCATTGGTGGGGAGCACCATTTGTTGTTTTGAATATACTTTAAAGGAAGAGGTACAAGGACATAAATGTTGAGATTACCTACAGGATGGAAATAGCAGTACAGTTCATTATAGATATTTTGAAATGTTTTTGATTGTTTTATATAACCTAGAGTGACTTCCCTTACCCTTATTTAGATCTGGATATATAGTTCTAGTTTGAAGTTTAATAGTTAAGGAGTTAGCTATTTGTTATCTTTAAGAGTAGGGTATTGACGTGAGCAATTGCAGTATTTTGCATGATACTGTTTTATAGATGACCTTTTAGGAAAGTGGTACATTTATTAATTGAACTGAAGAAGTAGTTCAGTTGAATTCAGTATCATAACTCACAAATTGGAGGCTGTTGATTTTGATTCATTTAAGGTTTAAAATCTTTATTAATTGCAAACAGTGCAATTATTTATACTTCACAGTGCCTTCCCAGACCTTCCACCTTAGGTTCTGCTGCAAAAAGCACCAGGTAAGCACAACCTAAGGACATATATAAATAAATATTTCAGTACATTAATGTTGTCCCTGTGAGGTTTTTGTGGTTGTGTATTCAAAGGCAATCTGCTACTGCTTCCCCAAAATGTATTTTGTTATTTTATGCTACCATCTTAGTGGAAAGTCTGTAAGTTGTTAAAGCAACTGTTTACATTTCTGGGTAATGTTTTTTATTTTACTTTTTTTTTTTTAAGACAAGAAAATGATGAGTAGATTGCTGCAGTAATTGATCTACATCCAAATCTTTTTGTATTTTTTCCCCAAAGATAGAAGAAGTGTTAAGATTAAGAAAGGACAATTACACAGTTTTCAAGATTTAGGAAATCACTTGTTCAGAAACTTCAACAGCCTTCACAATCTGTTTTATATGATGGACAGAAAATTTCTTTGCCCTCCAAAACTATAATTTCTTTATTTTTTTCTTAAACTATAATAATTCAGTAAGGATATTATGGGTTACAATTTTATTATGATTTTTTTCTGAGACAAAAGTTATATGCTGAAAAAGGAAAAAGTTATAAGGCAGTATGTTTTGATAAAAGGCATGTGCATCAGTGAAATGTTAACTGTACAGCAAATAACCTTTCATAATCTGTAGCAATCAGTATTTTTCTGATTTAATAATATTTTAATAACTGACGCTGCATTTATATAATTTTTTTGCCAGTTTAAAATGTTTGTGTGTTTTTATAGATGATTTTAACTGGTACATATTTTGAGTTAAGATGAATGTATGAAAGCAGCATCTTATCAGTTTTGTTTATTCAATTTCTAAAATGTGCTGATCCTTTTAAAACTCCTGCTTATCTCTGCAACAAAGAAAAATATTCAAAAATACTGCCTTCATTTTCACACACAGTGCTGAAGATGCTGCAAGCACCAAATCATAGCTCATAAAATCAGGTCCTGAGATAGTTACCCATAAAGAGGAATCCTTTGAGTGTATGCCATTGGTGAGCCGATGAGCATGGACCATAGAAGGGCTCAATGTAGAAGGTAAAATTGGCAAATCATAATTGAGAAATATGAAATGTATTCCCATACATAATATGGTATAGGGTGTAATGTACCTGCTTTTGATCACTTTTCATTTTAAAGTGCTATTCACTTGATCTTAAATGTTCCATGAACTGTTAAATTTCTTAAGTTACATAGTTATTACACCACATTTATGTGTATGTTATGTTTTAATAGTCAATGATAGGTATGTAAATATAAAGGGACTCATTGAAACTTGAGAGCCTGTCGAGTTTTGGTTAGTTGTAGATTGCATTTTTATTAAAAAAATATAGATAGATGAATGATAATAGATATTGGGGCACTGTTTCTGTCTCATGAGAATTCTTTTATTCATTACCATAAGCCTTCACTGATAATATAAGCATTATTTTAAATGACGCTGGTCTTAAATCTGAAATAAATGGAAAGCAGAAAAGGTGAGCCAGTTGATTTGAATGCATTGGATATTAGTGTTAGAAACAATGTATAGTTTAGATTGAAATTGAACTGACTTTATTTAGCACTTAAACAAAAATTTGACAATGTTTTTAGTTTTTTTTTTAAGACAGCTTAGTGTGGTGATACTTAGAATTCTATGGTTTGATGTTTCTTTTAGAAATGAGAAGTATAGTTTTATTTTTTAATATCAAAAATGGTTTTAATACTAAAACTAGTAATTTAATACTAGTTGTTTATAAACATTGTAAAATATATCTTTTAAACAAATTATCTTAGTAGTTAATTCATAAGAGTGGGTTTGGGTAGGAATAGCAGAGTACCTTCAGAGGGAAAGGGGAGTAATTCAGAAGTGATAGCATTTTATTTGTTTGAATACTCTGCCAGTAAAATCAGCTCTACTTAGAAAGTTATCTGTTGTGTAGAATAATGATGTAGAGTTTACTAATCAGTGAGGATGTCTTGTTTTTATTTTCTGCAAACTCTGCCTCACTTTAAAATGCATTTTAACAATACCTAATTAAAGATAATTTTGGTTCTGAAAATAACCTTATTTTTTGTTGAGTTAGTGACTTCATTTTTCTTGTCACAATATAAGCTTTTGAGGGATTTTTTTTAATTGGTGCTTTTAATAAGCAAATCCCAGGGTTTTATTTTCTTCAGTGATACCCCTATAGAAACTCTTAAATGTATTTGCGCATATATATATATTTTTTCTTATGCATGCTCGATGCATTTTCGTCCTGAGAAAAATGTTCTCTACAGAAACTACCCGTGTGTAAAAAGAAGATTGGCTTAAAATGGCTACTGTGATGGGAACAGTGTCTTAGGGAGATGCAGCTTGGACTTGAGGTAAATTGAATACTTTACAAACTGTGGTTTAGAGTTTGCTTTAATGACATTGTATGTAAAAGGTCACATGATAGCTGTAATTTTGTATTCATTATGGTTTCCTCAATAAATAAATGTACATTGATGAATATTATAAGGGAGTGCTTTGTGTTTTTTTATACATATATTACTTGGTAAAATTTTCTACTTGACTGGGTTTTTTTTAATGCTTACTGTAAGAAAAGATGATTTTTTAAAAGTTCTAATGATAAAGGGGTACCATCTGGTTGCACAAGTCTTAAAATACAGAAAGACTTTTAAATACAGAAGTTACTTTATTTGGGTTCACATTGTAAAATAAAATTGTCTTCCAGAAAATTAAAATATAAAACAACTTAATAGAACATAATAGCTAATTATTTACAAACTCATTTTAAAGACTAGAATTTTAAATTGAAGGTTGTTCCACTTTTTCCCTAAGTCTGATACACTTAGATCTTGAAACCTTCAGCTATGTTGAAAGTGTTTTCTCTTCTGTGAACTATTAATACAAAGTTTTTTTATTAAAATATAATTTGCTCAGGCAAGATCACATAAATTTGCTTTATAAATTTAATTATATATTACGTTCGAAAAATAATGTTTAATATCCTCAACACTCAACACTGTATAGGCAGTCAAAGTCCTTTAATTTTTGTTTTTCTCCATGCTCCTCCCCTTTTCCTCTAAAAGGAGTGACACTTTTCCCCACCCCGCTCCAATATATCTGCTTCAGAAAGACTTTGAAACAACCACCAAAATGGTATACTACTAAAGAAAAAGTCCACTCAAATTGATAGGTTCCAAATTAATTATCTCAGCTATTTCAGCCTAATTTTAGGTGTAAAAAGCTCAGAAATGCCATTCCTTCATGCAAAATAATGTATTCTACTTAGGGGTGTGTGTGTGTTTTTAACATAGTTGCTGTAAACGTCTGTGGGAAATACACAGCCTTTATAATAGGTTCTGACAGAATAATTAATCCCCCCCCCCCCCAGAAAGTACATTTTATTGACTGTTACTGCATAAAAGGCGATAAATCTGATGCTTATTTGGAAAAGAAGAAGGCATTCTTTAGATGAGCTGTGTTTTGAAGACTGTTACGAAAAGGAGTAAGAAGTCAACATAGTGGCACTCCTGGTTTCCTTTTTTGGCCCCACCACAGAAAAGATGGATGTAGTAAGAAAGCTGGAGTGAAAGAGTAAGTTCCAAGGAGAGGGAAGGGGAGCTAGTAGTCATCAGCTAAAAAAGAGAAGAAGAAAAGTGATTTTAAGGAAAAAAAAAAATTAATAGAATAAAAGATAAAAAGTGATTAATTCTTACTTTCAATGGTAAGAATACAGGTACTAGCTGCAGATCCTTTATTGTTGACTGCTTTACACATATACTCTCCTCCATCTTCTGGGAAAGTTTCTGGTAAGTAAAGGCAGTAAGTTTCTCCCCTTTCAATATATTGATAGTCTTCTCCATCCTGCAGTATTTCTCCTTCAAACCACCATGTAATTTCTGGTTTGGGTTCTCCTGTTACTTTAACAGTAAATCTGACTGGCTCACTGTCTACAACTGACGTGTTTTTAAGAGGCTTCTTGAACCATGGAGCTCCTGATCTGGTTTGCTCTTCGTCTTCAGTAGTGGAGCCATTCATGATGCTACCTTCTTCCTCCTCCTCCTCTTCTCTTTTCTATATTAAAATAAATGGATTCAGGTTGGCATTTATAATACAGTATTTTCAGGGCAGCGATTTAGTAACAATTTTGAAGTGAAATTTGTTTTTTAAGTAAAGAACATAAAAGTATGCCTACTACAAAGTGTACTTAACAGTACATTCCAGTGACTTGAAAGAAAGCTATTAAAACATGTTTCTTAACCCACATAATTATAAAACTATGGGTTTTAAGAGGGCATCTTTGGAAAATAAAGGATATATAAGCCTGGTACCTTTTGTAGTGCTGCATCAATTTCCCTTTGTTCAAACTGCATGCGTAGTAACTTTTGTTCTTCAATTCTTCTTTGTTCTTCTTCTTCTCTTGCCTTAGCCATTTGTTCAAATCTAGCTTTCATATTCACTTTGTGAGTAAATGGAGCCTCGCTTTTTCTTGCAGGCCTAACATCAACATCATCTTCCTGCAAGAAAGTGGGCCAAGATTAACAATTGCTTGCCTTCTAAAAACAAAGTTTCTAAAGTTGTTGCTTAGAAGCACAAAATGATTAACATGTTTGTAATGCATATTTTGGCTACACTGCAGACACTCAGATTTTTTCTGACTCCCCAGTTCAGGAAAAGTGATAGGTATATTTAATGAAGCATTCTCTTAGTTATAGTCTTTTTCTCCAAATGTCACTGGGACATTGGGACAACAATATCACTGGGATTCCAGCCCGTCTGTCCTACCAACTCTGCTTGGTTTTGATAGCACTTAATTGAAAAAGGTCAGAATACTATACATTCTAAATAATTGTTAAAAATACTCCCTTGATTCCCATAAGTCCATAATTCCCTACTACATAATAGGAGAAAATTCTTTCTCCTATTCTCACTTAATGATTTTCCTTCTTTAACCTTCTTAGAACTACGTCCCTGTGAATTCCATCCAAATAATGTATTAATGGTGAAATGGCAGGGAAAGGGTGTTTACAACTAACAGAGACAACTGTTGAAAGAGGCAATGACTGAAACATGGGGAAATCACTAAGTAAAATACGTTTATGTCATCTGAGGGGTGAGTTGGAAGCCATGGTAATAATCAAGGGAGTGATTTAAGAGCATAGTCTCAACTGTCAAATAGTGTGTCTAGGAAAATAATAATTTGGTAATGATAAGGTCTTTTAGAGCAGTTTTGGTGGAGTGGGGTTAATGTGGGTAGTTAATGGTTTCTAAAGTACTTCAGTTGTAGTTGACTTTTGGTTTCTAACTAGGCATTTGTGGATCTAGTTGGAAATCTCACCATTTATATTTCATAGTACTATGAGGAAATTGCTCCAGGTTGCCACATCCAACTAAAGGGAAATTTGAAACAAGTGCTAGTTTAATTGTCTATATAAGAAAAATCTTGGTTCGGGTGTTTCACTTCAGTTTGAGGTGTTGCACCTCACACCTCATACTTCGTACCTATCTCATTTCCAATGAAAGGAGTAGGAGGTTAAAAAAGTTGGATGGTTTTTCTGGCTCTGCATTATATTTTTTATTTGATGTTGGAAAATCATGGGACATCAGACAGCCTGCTACCTGATGCATCGATTCTTTTTTGTGCCATTATTTACCTTCAGTTGATAAATATAATGCCTGACTATGGTTGTTGCTAATGAATGAATGAATAGCTTCTTTTAAAAAAAAATTATATATGAAAGACTAAGAAAAATACATGTTAAACCATGATTTGCTTACTGTAGTTTTATCTGAACAGACTTCTGAGACTTAAATTTAAAAAGGACCTCTTTGTTCACAGTATACACTTTTTTTGTTGTTTACCAAATGAACCTTTAAGATGGAATATTTCAGCAGGTACAAAAATTGCTATTCTGAGTCCCTCCCCGTTAATAACTTGCCTTTCAGATTTTAGCCTGTTTGTGCAAATTCATAACTATTCATTTAGCTGCCTCAAACCTGCATTTAGAAAATAAATTTAAGTAAAATAATTTCTCTTGAGCTGAAAATTTATGAGCAGTCCTTCAATCAAGTACAATTGTCAACTTTTCTTGAGCTCCTAAAAAGCCAGGTTAAAACATATTTCTGGGAAAGAAATCTAAGAGTAATATAAATGGAACTCTGTAGGTACATTCTTTATAGGGCATTGGCGCTCTCAGCCCATGAATGTTAAAGTCAGCAGTTAGGCAGTGTATTTTCCTTGAGATACAATGGGGCATAAGATAATTTTGGAGTAGACTTTATTAGAAACTCTAGAAATTCAAACGTTATATAAGGCATTTAAGTACCAAATGAGGGGTGCATGTTTAAGTGCTACAGGAGCTGAGATGGCATTCTCTGATTAGGTAAGGTTATATAAATGAGTTGAGCCTTGACAGAATATAAACATTTTGAAGACACACTGAACATTGATATTTCTCGCTCTGTCACCCAGGCTGGAGTGCAGTGGCATGATCTTGGCTCACTGCAACCCCCGCCTCCCGGGTTCAAGCTATTCTCCTGCCTCAGCCTCCTGTGCAGCTGGGATCATAGGCGTCTGCCACCACATCCAGCTAATTTTTGTATTTTTAGTAGAGACAGTGTTTCGCCATGTTGGCCAGGCTGGTCTCGAACTCCTGACCTCAGGTGATCCGCCCACCTCAGCCTCCCAAAGTGCTGGGAATTACAGGCATAAGCCACCACGCTCAGCTGTTAACCAGTTTTTAAATACGAGTTCAATCACTTTTAACCCAGAAAGGTATGATAGGAGGGACTTCATTGTCCTCCAGAGGAAACTCCATTCAGGATATTCTGATGGGGTATAAAAGTTCAGCCATGTCCTAATATCACATCCATGTATGCTAAAGTAACAGCAATAAAATAAGTCACCCATCTTATTTTTGTTTTCCTTACCTACATATTTCGTAGGTATAGGTATGACTGCTAAGGTTTCACTACCGGTAACAAAAGGAAGTGCATGCATGCTGATTGAACTTTTCTTTACCTTCCATGTTACACCTATAAATACTGATCTTTGGCCATTCATCCACTAAATGTTGATGTTCTCCAGGGTTTAATTCACTTTCAACAATTAACTTTCTAAGCAGCTTTATCTACTTGTACTTTCCATTGCTATCCATAAAGTTAGAATCTCCTTGCCTCTCACCTTAGTTCAGGACCTTTGTTAGACTGCCTTTACCTTATCCAAATATCGCTCAAACTTTACATGCCAAAACTATTCACCCCAACTCCCCAGACCTGATTTCTCTATAGCATCATCTAGTTATCCTGAAGTAATGGTAGCCCCCTCCGCAACCAACTGCCCAAAAAGCAACCTATAACCCTTTTTTGTCTGTTTAACTTCTATCCATACCAGAGTCTAACCTAGTTTTGTTAATTAGGTCTGTTTTTCTCCCTTGGCCCCAACTTCATGCCTGTCTTCCAGTTCATCCTCCATGGTCCCAGAATTCTTGCATAAACCTAAATATTTCATTCCTCTGACCTAAAGAGTTGATTAACAACATTGTTTCCCAGATCATAGTTTCTGCAAGATTTAAAAAGACCTTCATTAACTAGCCACAACTTATTTTTACAACTTTGTATCCTATCACTTATTCTGTGAACCTTGCCTTGTAGTCCTTTGAACCTGTTTTCCATTCCCCAAATACATTTTTACAACCTCTGAGTTAATCTGAAAGGCTTCTCCTCTATCTGGAATGCCTCTCCTCTTTACTTGTAACTTTTATTCAGCCTTCACACTCACCTTAAATGTATATTGACTCCACCCAGTTTGATTCTGTAATAACTTCTATTATAGTACTTACAATAATGAGAATTTTTTTCAGTCATACGTCATTAGACAACTTTTTTTTTTGTTTTTTGAGATGGAGTCTTGCTGTATCGCCAGGTTGGAGTGCAGTCTCAGCCTTCTGAGTAGCTGAGACTACAGACCCGTGCCACCACGTCCAGCTAATTTTTGTATTTTTAGTAGAGATGGGGTTTCACCATGTTGGCCAGGATGGTCTCAATCTCCTTACCTGGTGATCCACCCACCTCGGCCTCCCAAAGTGCTGGGATTACAGGTGTGAGCCACCGCGCCCGGCCGTAGACTGAACTTCTTCAAGGTATGTTATATCCATGTATATATCCCCAAAACAACAGATCCAACATGTTAAAAATGTTCAAAATTTTTTAGATGTTAAAAAATAGAAATGGTGTTTGCTTTTGGCAATGATGAAAAGGTTTATCTACAACTAACCTAGGCCTTAGGCTTGTATGTCACACAAACTTTGGTGCATTTCAAATTGGTTGATGTTTCACAGCATCTCCATTTGTCTCAAATAGCTTATGAAGCCTCTTCCAAACTAGTATGGTTTCCCATATTGTTACTATATACTCTCACTATTCCTTCCTCTTTCTTCCTCTCCATCATCATCCCCAAGTCCTGCCAGTTTTGACTCCTGCATACTTATTTGTCCTTTCCATTCCAGCCCTAGTTCAAATCCTCAGGCCTTCTCTGACCACCCTTTACAAAACAGTAACACATACTCTTATTTCTCTTACTCTGCTTTATTAATCTTCATAGCTTTCATTTGTTAACCACCTGATAATTGTTTTCCACCCCTCCCGAGCCCCAACCCATGTGTTAGATTCTAAACACTATATGAACAGGGACTATAAGTTTAGTTACTGATGTCTTGTGTCCAAAGCAGTCCCTGGAACATAGTAGTCATTCAAATTATTTATTTCAGACAGAGTCTCACTCTGTTGCCAAGGCTGGAGTGTGCAGTGGTGCAATCTCGGCTCACTGCAGTCTCCACCTCCCGGGTTCAAGCCATACTCCTGCCTCAGCCTCCCTAGTAGCTGGGATTATAGGCACCCATCATTATGCCCAGCTAATTTTTGTATTTCTGTAGAGACGGTTTCACCATGTTGGCCAGGCTGGTCTTGAACTCCTGACCTCAGGTGATCCACCCTCCTCGGCCTCCCAAAGTGCTTGGAATTACAGGCGTGAGCTACCGCGCCTGGCCTCGAATGATTTTTTAATGTATGTATCTAAGACCACATAGCTTCAGCATGATCTAGCTATATAGACAATATCTGACAATATCCATGCTTTGTTGTTTTAGAGACAGGGTCTTGCTCTGACACCCAGGCTGGAGTGCAGTGGTGCAATCACAGTTCACTACAGCCTCAACCACCCAGGCTCAATCCTCCCACCTCAGCCTCCCAAGTAGCTGGAACTACAGGCATACATCACCATGCTCAGATAAATTTTTTGTGTTTTTTGTACAGATAGGCACCCATCTTTATGCCCAGCTAATTTCTGTATTTCTGTAGAGACAGGGTTTTGCCATGTTGCCCAGGCTGGCCTTGAAATGACTCAAGTGACACACCCACCTTGCCCTCCCAAAGTGCTGGGACTACAAGTGTGAGCCACTGTGCCCCGCCAATATCCATGTTTTAAGAATCCCTTCACATGGCATCTAAGACTCCATGATCATCTCAATTATGCTTGCATCTTCATTATCTTTTGCTGTCCTTCGCACTCGTGCATGCCTCAGTAATAATGAGTTGCTTATAGTCCCAATAATTGGCGCACAGTTTCTTCGTTCTGTCCTTTTATTCAGTCTCCTCTGAAGGCGCTCCCAAATTCCCATATCTGTTTTGCTAGCTAAATACTTGATCAAAATATATTTCTAGAATATAGGTTAAATTCTGTTAAACATTATAGGATAGGAATGCTGGCAGAAAAAAAATGTCTAGATCTCATTTAAACCAGTATTCATAATCACACAAATAGTCCTTAAGCTAGAAGGACTATTACAGGTCAGTGATTGCCTCTTTATTTTATGTTTGAAGGTAATTCAAATGTCATCAGAATTCTCATTTAGGCTCTTCCACACTGAATTACTGCTGTAACTTTGAGCAAGTATTAGACTTTATGGGTTTCATCTAAAAAATAAAGTATTAATAATATGGAGTTTAACTTGAATATATACTAGTTCTACTGACTCAACTAAAACATATGCCAAAAAACATTATTTTAGTTGTATAATTTTTTTGTAGAGATGGGGTTTCACTATGTTGCCCAGGCTAGCCTAGAACTCCTGGATCATGTGATCCTCCCTTCTTGGCCTCCCAGAGTGCTAGGATTATAGGCATGAGCCACCACACCCAGCCAAAATAAGGATAATATACCTCATGAAAATTTTCTGCTTCTCGCTCTTTAATTTCAAGGTCAATTGCTCTCCTTCTTGCTCGCTCTTCTTCTATTTTTTTCTGTATTTCTTTTTCAGACAACTGTCCAATTTTTTCAAACTTGCTTTTTAGGTTTTTAGCTTGAATAGAGCCACTCCTTTTTAATTTGATCAGTTCTTCATATTCTCTGCTCAATCCAAATGTTTCATTTTCTTCCTCTTCCTTCAAAAAAAAAATAATAATAAGTTTTTTGCTGCCGTTTTAGTCTCATTATGTTACCCAGGCTGGCCTTGAATTCCTGTGTTTAAGCAATCCTCCTGCCTCAGCTTCCCAAGTAGCTGGGACTACAGGCACATGCCACCATGCGTGACTCCAGAAAAAAAAAAAAAAAAATTGAATATCAGCATACTAGTTTGTACAATAAACCATCCAAAAAAAATGTGTACTATTTCTTATTTGAAACCAAAAATACAGCTTAACCTCTTCTCTAAATGCAGTGTCCAAATTTACTAACTCAAAATGGTGCTACAAATTTAAGGCATTATTGAAAACATTATACTTAAAATACTATTCGCATCAGGGAATATGGTTAAAATCCTCTGACATCCCTTGATAACCTGCTAAAACTAAAACATTCATGACAAAATTAGCTTTTCCTAGGAATTGCAGGAAGGTCTTTGTTAGGGGAAGCCAAAAAAATAATTGAAAGAACAGTAGGCCGGGTGCAGTGGCTTACGCCTGTAATCCCAGCACTTTGGGAGACTGAGGCTGGAGTGCAGTGGCGCAGTCTCGGCTTCCTGCAAGTTCCGCCTCCCAGGTTCACACCATTCTCCTGCCTCAGCCTCCCGAATAGCTGAGACCACAGGCGTCTGCCACCAGGCCCAGCTAATTTTTTGTATTTTTTTAATTGAGACGGGGTTTTACCATGTTAGCCGGGATGGTCTCGATCTCCTGACCTCGTGATCTACCCACCTCAGCCTCCCAACGTGCTGGGATTACAGGCATGAGCCACCATGCCCGGCCCATCTTGTTCTTTTGTTCGGATTTCTTTCCCCTGACTTTTCACAATTTGTTATTATTAGTCCTTTGTAATATTTATCAAACCCTAATACCACCATATGGAATGGTAAGATACTACAGGTATTCCTGGTATACTTTTCCTGGAGAAGACCTAAAGTTCTAGGCAGAGTTTTAAAAGGTAGAGGCAGAGGGTGTCACAGTTTGGGATGTTATGACATGAAGCTTAATTTCTTAACCAAGGGGTAAGAGAAAACGTTCCTTTATACTATTTCCACTTTTTAGGCTATGTGGGGTGAAAATACACGACTCATAAGAAACCTAGACCTTGGAATATTTTCCTACAGCACATTCCTGGTATTTATTTATACATTTATATTTATATTCTCAGGGTCCGCTAGATAATTTGCCAGCCACACCTGGGGCAGAGAAGTAAAACTTCCCTTCCCACGTGCCCACTGCCCCAACCCATAAAAAACGGGCACCTTCCAAGAGATTGCAACCTCTGTGTAGGAACTCACTCGGTTCCTAGGTCATAAGTTGGTGAGAGGACCCCACCAAGGTGCCTGCCAAACATGCCATACCATTGCCAGTCCAAGTCATGAGGCTACATGTTAGACCCCGACCCTGTTCATGTGTGTGTCCTGGCCCCTGGCAGGGACCAAGGCTGATGCTGAATACAGGCCCCAATTCTACCTTTCTCTTCTGCTGCCCACGCAACCCGGGCCACCCAGAGGGATAGCAGCAGAGTCCCAAGAGGGAAGAAGGTTAGGCAGGGCCTTGGGAAGGAGGCTGATGAAAACCCATTCCAGGGAGGCAGGAAGGCGGCGTGAAGCCCTAGTAAGCAAAAGCTATAAAGGGCATGTTTCATCGTCCAATCAGCTTTCACTTATATACAACACACAAATTCAAAGGTAAAATTAAGAATTTCAAGACAGTGGCTGGGCATGATGGCTAATGGCTGTAATCCCAGAACTGTGGGAGGATCGCTTTCCAGGAGTTGGAGACCAGCCTGGGCAACAAAGTGCGATCACCCCATCTTTAGAGAAAAAAAAAAAAAAAAAAAAAAAAAAAAAAAAAAGGCCCGGCGCGGTGGCTCACGCCTGTAATCCCAGCACTTTGGGAAGCTGAGGCGGGTGGATCACGAGGTCAGGAGATGGAGACCATCCTGGCTAACACGGTGAAACACCATCTCTACCAAAAATTACAAAAAATTAGCCGGGCCTGGTGGCAGGCGCCTGTAGTCCCAGCTACTCGGGAGGCTGAGGCAGGAGAATGGCGTGAACCCGGGAGGCGGAGCTTGCAGTGAGCCAAGATGGTGCCACTACACTCCAGCCTGGGCGACAGAGCGACCCCCGGTCTCAACTCAAAAAAAAAAAAAAAAAAAGTGCTGGGCACAGTGGCTCACACCTGTAATCCCAGCACTTTGGGAGGCCAAGGTGGGCGGATCACCTGAAGTCCAGGAGTTCGAGATCAGCCTAGCCAACATGGTGAAACTCGTCTCTACTAAAAATGCAAAAATTAGCCAGGCATCGTGGCACATGCCTGTAATGCCAGCCACTCGGGAGGCTGAGGCAGGAGAATTGCTTGAACCTCGGAGGTAGAGGTTGCAATGAACTGAGATCGTGCCATTGCACTCCAGCCTGGTCGACAGAGCAAGACTCCATCTCAAAAAAAGAAAAAAAAATTAAAAATTTGCCAGACATGGTGCTGCATGCACCTAAAGTCCCAGCTACACAGAAGGCTGAGAAATGAGGATCACTTGAGCACGGGAGGTCAATGCTGCAGTGAGCCATGTTCACACCACAAAAAAGAATTTCAAGACAGAAACTTCAACATTAAACCCCAAATGCAGGGCCTTCTGAACATGGAGTCTTGTGAGTGCACAAGGTGCATGCCCATGAAGCTGGCACTGTATAGTCTACATATATGTATTGAATATAAATATGCATATTTATGAACTATAAATATAAATAAATAGTAATAGCTCAGTCCCTTGCAAACCTCGATACTTTTTTATTAAACTAGCAAGGAAGGAGTAGTTAAAGCAGACTAGAAAGTACACATAATTGTGCAGACGCCTGTACCATGTAAGCACCTCATAGTAGTATGTCAACTATCGTAAAGGTGAATAATAATACAAAGTTATTATAAGGTGATATAAGTAAAATATTTAGCTAATAAATATGGGTAATATAAATAGATATTTCTTAAAATCTTACCTCTCCCATTTCCTGTCTCAGTTGTTCAAATTCTTGTTTCTCCATTTCGAGCTTATGCTTCCGTTCTTCCTCTGTTCGTCGTTTTTCTTCTTCCATTTTTTGTTTTAATAATTCTTCAAAATTAATTTCTAGTTTTCCCGGTGTAAGAGATTCTTGAGAGACTGTCTTATACATCTCTGGGGAGTCATCATCTACTACCTATTTAAAATAATTCTTTTATCACTCTGGCCAGAATTATACATACTAAAAAGGGACTATTTCTTGAAGAAACTGGGATTTCTTTACTGTTTGTTTTTAATTTTGGTTTTTGTTTTTTGAGACAGAGTTTCAATCTTATTACCCAGGCTGGAGTGCAATGGTGCAATCTTGGCTCACCGCAACCTCCGCCTCCCAGATTCAAGCAGTTCTCCTGCTTCAGCCTCCTGAGTAGCTGGGATTACAGGCGTGCGCCACCACGCCCGGCTAATTTTGTATTTTTAGTAGAAACAGGGTTTCTCCATGTTGGTCAGGCTGGTCTTGAACTCCTGACCTGAGGTCATCTGCCCGCCTTGGCCTCCCAAAGTGCTGGGATTACAGGGGTGAGCCACCGTGCCCAGCCAGATTTCTTAAACAGGTTTCACACTGAACAAAAAACAAGGTGACTTAACAGCAAACAAGGAATTCTAAACACAGTGTTCATAAATAAATAAATAAATAAATAAATAAATAAATAAATGGGAAGAATTATTGGAAAATGTAAGACTGAGGTATTTTGTAACTATCAGGTTACCAGGAAATGGTAACCATCTATTCTCCATCACAATGAAGACAAAAAATACTTTATTCATATCATGAGTACTTTGAATTAGACATTAAGATTTCCTAATTTGAGAACATTTTTAATTGGATTAAAATGGCTCTCCATTTTGGTAATTAAAGCATTTAAGTTAATCATGAATTTGTCTGAATGAATTAGATAACCTGTCATGATCTCTTCATAATCAGGCAAAAATCATTCTTAGTGCTATGAGTTTATTGTTTATTTGCTGTCGGGCTAATTTTAAAGAAATAATAATAGATAATACTGAGAGCTGCCAAGTACAGTTATAAGCACTTTACATGTATTAATTTATTTAATCCTATAACCCTATGAAGTAGTTACCAATATCCTCATTTTACAGACAAGGAAACTGAGGCACTGAAAAGTAATTGTCTAAAGTCAACACAAATGCTATGTGGCAAAGCTGGGATTCAAACTTCAAAATCTTTCTAATAAGATTATAGGCCAGGCACAGTGGCTCACGCCTGTAATCCCAGCACTTTGCAAGGCCAAGGCAGGTGGATCATGAAGTCAGGAGTTCGAGACCAGCCTGACCAACATGGTGAAACCCTGTCTCTACTAAAAATACAAAAATTAGCCGGGTGTGGTGGTGGGTGCCTGTAATCCCAGCTACTGGGGAGGCTAAGGCAGGAGAATCACTTGAACCTGGGAGGTGGAAGTTGCAGTGAGCCGAGATCACCCCATTGCACTCCAGCCTGGGTGACAGAGCGAGACTCCATCTCAAAAAAAAAAAAAAAAAAAAAAAGATTATAGACCAGGCATGGTATAACATAACCCTCTGGCCTGAACTGTGACCCTGTGGTTGAAATAGACATAGGAGAATGAGATAAGGGATATTATTCATTTGCTCCAAGTTTTATCAAGGCAATCCAGGCTTTACCACAGAACTATTTCAACTCAGAAACGATGTTTAAGTGGTTTACAATTCAAAGACTGCCTGAAATTTTTAAATTTTATATATGCATGAACTAAGCTATAGTATGAAATCACAATACTTACTCCTGGATAAATTACAATACTTATTTGTGGATAAGAAAACAATATAAATGTAAAAGGAAGTTTTTCTTTCTCTTTAGAAATGTGTTTAGGAAACTTGGTTTTGTTTTAACGCAGTTTTCTCCCCTGCATTTTTTTCCACTAGTGAATCATGGTAAAAAGGCAGTTTTGGCCTACAAATCTGCCCCAAGGACTAGGTCTTGTAATCTTCACAGTTACTTCTCTTCTACTGCTTCTAAACCTGCTTATTCTCCAACAATTAAGTGCATTCACAACGTCTGTAGGATTTCTATGTAGAAACCATTTATGAATCAGGGATTACCTACTGCATGCAAGATTTCAATATCACTTGTTCCATCAACATTTACTGGAGGTCTGTTACGCTAGGCATTGTGCCACATGTTTGATGGACAGTCTTGGCCTTATGGAGTGGAAAAGACAGCCATAAGTGATAACAATACAGGATTAGCGCTACGATAGGAGAGTACTAAATGCTGCAAGAATTCATGGAAGAAGGTGTTTATTATTAGGAAAGGCTTTCCAGAGGAAATGGAAAGTTATGAATTGGAATTAGCAGAGCACAGGGAAAGGAGTGAGGGACATCTTTCAGACAGTGTGAAGGCTGAGAGAGTCTCACTTTGAAGAAATACAAACAAATTTAGCATATTTGGAACAAAGAGCAGATTAAGGAAGAATCAATAAATGAAACGGGAGCAATATACAAGAGCAAGACTATAAAGAAATTTGTTTTAGAAGTTTTTGGATTTTTACTTAAGAAAAGTGTGAAAATATTAAGCAAAACAGTAACAAAACACAATCAAAATTTCTTTTTAAAGATCACTCCTGGCTTTGTAGGAAAGAATAGGTTACAGGTAAGATAACAAGTTAATTAGGAGTTGGTCCCAGGCAAATTGTAACAGTAACTTGGATTATAGTAGTGGCAGTGGAAAATGAGGGGGAAACTGACAGATTTTAGAGTGATTTAGGAGGCAGAATAAATGAGACTTAGTGACTGGTTGGACGTCAGGCATGAATAAGAAGATAGAAGTGTTTCAGGCTTCCAAGTTTCTGATTTGAGTATCTGTGTGGGCGATAAAGCCAAATAAACACTTGGACATATGTGTCTGATGCTCACCCATATTGAGGAAGAAAACCAGCTTATGATATCACCAAAGCCAATTACAATGTATCAAGAAGGAGATGCAGGGCTCAAGTCTCAAATTGCTTGAAAATTGTTTGTCAGATAACTGTACATTGTACAAACATAAAACTGGTATAGGAAGTACAGTCATAACCTTGTGACAGTTAAGTTAGGTATCAATTTCCAGGAGTGATGAGTGAGCATTTTGGAGAGAGAAATAATTCTGATTAAATGACTCAGGTCATTTAATATATAGTGGGTGGGATGAAAACTGAAAATAAAGAAGGAAAGGAAGGAAATAAAGGAATGAAGGAGGGGAAAAGGGAGTGTGGGAAGGAGGTGGGGAAAGAATGGAGAGGAAGAAAGGAAAAGTTAGGGGAGGAAACTCCCTACTTCTTCTTCTTCCTTGGATACTTAGTTCTGGAAAACATGTTTTCCCAGAGAAGGGAAATAATATTCCATCCTTTGTGCCAAGCATGGCAATTTAAATCAGAATCTTCTGAACACTAAACTGAAGCAAATACCTTCAATCAACTGGTGTTATTCCACCAGTTGGGAGACTTCAAAATACATTTGCCATTTCTACTCTTGGCACAGATTCCAGAAATAATAGGGTATTCTCTAAAGTCTAATGGTTCTATTAATATATTCTCAAAGGTGAATTCTAATAGCATTCTCCAGTTAACTTCTGTCTTACCATGTTTCTCCTTGCTTCAGCAAATGCCTTCTTTTCTTCCTCTATTCTCCTTCTGGCTTCTTCTTCTGCTTTCCTTTTTTCATCTTCTCTTCTTTGCCTTTCTATTTCTTCAAAACTGAGTTTGAGTTTACCAGGGCGGTACCCTTTAAAAATTTTTGCTGTGTCTTGGTTTTCCTCTTCTTCATTTACCTAACAAAATAAACAGTTCATTACTAAGAATTGAGATTCATCAGAAAAAGGAATGAATTATCAAACAAAAGGCACAGAATTAGCCACTTCACATAGGACTGTTTGAATGCCCTTAATATACTTGACCAAAATCCTCTTCCTTTTTAATGTCTTATGTGATAAAATATTCAAGTTTGGAGAAATTCCATATAAAGATGTACTCAGGTTAAATAAAACTTCTCAAGAAAGTCAAATTTCTATAGATAAATTTGAATATTAAAACATTTTTAGCCAGGTGTTGTGGCAGCTCACGCCTGTAATTCCAGAACTTTAGGAGGCAGGAGGATCGTTTGAGCCCAGGAGTTCAAGACCAGCCTGGGCAAGAGAGCAAGACCTTGTCTCTACTAAAAACCAAAAAACACATTTTAGCCATTGTGGTGGTGTGTGCCCGTAGTCCCAGCTACTTGAGAAGCTGAGGTGGGAGGATCCCTTGGGCCCAGTAGGTTGAGGCTTCAGTGAGGGGTTACTGTTGAGTATTAACTTTCCCAGAACAAATATAAAATGTGTATGTGTGTGCTATCATTGGGGTTCAAGTATATCTACACAGAATCTCTTTGGTAGTAAAATAAGGTTCTCATTTTGTAATCTTTGTAGTTTTTTTTTTTACTGTGAACTATGGTGCCTTATACTAATCAGATAAAAGATTATTATCTAGAACTATTTTATATAAAATTCCAGCTTTATGATTTTATCATTAAAGTTTTAATTTATTATTAAATTTACTATAATATCCATTGAAATGCATTATTTAATAATACTATTTCTTTATTAAGTAGACCACCAGAAATATCTAAGATGTGTAGATACTATGCAGCTATACCCAAGAGTAATAACATTTTCAAATAAATGTCTAGAAAATTAAATTTTTATATATATAATTACTAGAACATCATTCAAGAAAGTTGATCAAGAAATTTCTGTAACTTTAAAATTACAAATATTCCATTTTTAGATCCTTTTTTTTTTTTTTGAGTCAAGGTCTCACTCTGTCACCCAGGCTGGAATCCAGTGGCTCATTCATAGTTCACCATAGCCTTGATTTCCCAGGCTCAAGCAATCTTCTCACCTCAGCACCTGGGGAGCTTGGACTACAGGTCTGTGCCACCACACCTGACTAATTTTTGTATTTGTTTTTGTAGAAACATGGTTTCCACATGTTGCTCAAGCTGGTCTCAAACTCCTGGGCTCAAGGGATCTGCCTGCCTCAGCCTCCCAAAGTGCTGAGATTACAGGCATGAGCCACCATGCCTGGCCCATTTTTAAATCTTAAAATGAATCAGTGTATTCTTATTTCAATTTTACTTTTTATTGATAAATCTATTAATACCATAATAATACTTAACATTTTCGAAGAACTACTGTATATATAACAAACACCATTTTAAGTGCTTCCTAGATATTAACTCATTTAACCATTTAAGAAATAGGCATTTTAAAAAATCCAAGTCATTGTGGAAGTTAAAAAAAAAAAGAAGTAAGCGCTTTCATTTTTACCATTTTAAAAATCAAGAAACTGGCCGGGCGCGGTGGCTCAAGCTTGTAATCCCAGCACTTTGGGAGGCCGAGACGGGCGGATCACGAGATCAGGAGATCAAGACCATCCTGGCTAACACGGTGAAACCCCGTCTCTACTAAAAAAATACAAAAAACTAGCCAGGCGAGGTGGTGGGCGCCTGTAGTCCCAGCTACTCGGGAGGCTGAGGCAGGAGAATGGCCTAAACCCAGGAGGCGGAGCTTGCAGTGAGGTGAGATCTGGCCATTGCACTCCACCCTGGGTGACAGAGTGAGACTCCGTCTCAAAAAATAATAATAATAATAAAAATAAAAAAATAAAAAAAATTTTTTAAATCAAGAAACTAAGAGGTTTAATTAATTAACACAGCGAGAGATTAAAACAGTTGTCCATGGTTACACAGTTAGTAAATGGCTGATATCTGAATCTAGACAATCCGGCTCCACAATCCATGCTCTTAACCACCACACTACACACACACACACACACACACACACACAAAAATACACACACAAATACACACACACATACACTTAATAGGGCAAACTGCATATTCCACTGTAAACTATTATTCTGATATGCTCAAACACTTGAAAAACTGGACTGCTGAGGACAAGTTTACACTTATAATCAGTCCTGCACCCATGTCACTAAGTACCTTGCAGATTGAACTAACAGATGAAGGAAACTAGGTTCATTGAGTAATTATTTTGCATACTTATATATTAATAACAATTTATAAAAATAAAAATTTAAAGCATATTGGGTAAAATGCCCCAGAGTGGAAACTGGAAAACAGTATGGATTTTTTTTTGAGACAGTCTCACTTTGTTATCCAGGCTGGAGTGCAATGGTGCAATCTTGGCTCACTGCAACCTCCATCGCCTGGGTTCAAGTGATTCTTGTGCCTTAGCCTCCCAAGTAGCTGGGATTACAGGTGTGTGCCACCACAGTCAGCTAATTTTTGTATTTTTAGTAGAGATGGGATTTCACAATGTTGCCCAGGCTGGTTTCAAACTCCCAACCTCGGGTGATCTACCCACCTTGGCCTCCCAAAGTGCTGGGAATTACAGGCGTGAGCCACCATGCCTGGCCTAGACACATTTTATATATGGAATATATATACAACTGGAAAATCAGCCCTTCTATATGTAAAATCTCTTTGAATTTATAGTAATGAACCTTATCTAAAGCCAGCTAACTTCATTAATATTAATTGTAAGGTTAAAATATGTAGATTTACCATTTGCCGCCTTGCTTCTTCAAAAGCACGCTTCTCTTCTTCTAAACGTTTCCTTGCTTCCTCTTCAGCTTGCTTCTTTCGGTTTTCTTGTCTTTGTCGCTCCAGTTCTTCAAAAGTTAGTTTCAATTTTCCAGGAGAAAGTGATTCTTTTTTTGCTTCACTTTCTATTTCATCATCCTAAGAAAACATTATGAAAACCCACCTTTTATTCATAAAGGAAAATGCTAACTTAAACTGCCTTGATTTGTTTCTTAAAAAACAAACAAAAAAAACTTACCATAACTAATGAAAGACACTTTGCTTCCTTGAGAGATCGTCGTTGTTCATCATATCTTACTCTTTTATCTTCCTCATACTTGATCCTTTCTTTCTCTTCACGTTCTTTTTCTAGATCCTCAAAATTCTTTTTCATTTTTCCAGATGTTTTATATGATTTAACAGGTACCACAGTTATAAGTAGTGAATCATCTCCTTCCTATTTTATAAAATGAATAATTAGCATATTTCTTCTTAATCAAAATTGGGTTTCATGGGACTTTACCTCCATAATAAGTGAATTCCATTACATTGTCATCAATGTTATTATGAAGAACGATTACTTTTTACAGATTATTATTAAACATCTCCTACTCTAAATTCTTTGTGCATTGTGAGTTAATCTTAGTGAAATCCATTGCTGATGAGGTTCAAGAAGCATTCTATTTCCTAGAAGATGGAGTTAATACAGCTGTTAAGATAACGAAACTGCAGTGGCATTGCCTGAATTAAGCTATTTGTGCACTAATCCACAAAATGTGCATGTGAATGTACTGTAAATCAATTTGATGGTGGACAGATTGTTTAAACAAAAAAAATTTCTTCATATGATTTGTATCTCTAAGCTTTTAAATACTGAATGAAACTAGTATTTAGTGAGAAAAAAACACAGTTTTTCCAAGTGATTTATTAAACATATATATTATAGATAAAACTCTCTGGTATTTGATTGTATTGAACTATTTATTATTTAATTCATTTTAATTATATAATCTATAGTTACCTCTGACTTTTTTAAAAACTAAGAAGAGTTATGAAATGAAACACATGGTCCTGAGATAAAATTGCTCCCAATTTATGGGCTGTAGTTTTAGGCACACCATCAAATTGAAAGATTTTTAACTTATTCTGTTAGATGAAAGGGATGACTAAAATTTTTGTGGTTGTTGAACATTTCTTCATGGTAACAGATACTGCACTCTATACTATTATATAAAAACCAAAACATAAACTCTCAGGAACTCTGAGGAAAGAAGACAAATGATGAAAATAAAATTGCCTTTTTATAAATGTTAGCGTTCAGTAATCTCAGCTGTTAGTAACAGTTCAAAAAATACATTGTCTTGGCAGAGTATCTCAAACTGAGACTAATAAGTTTGTCTTTCTAACCTAACTATGAAAGCAAAACAAAACATACTTTTCTTTGAAACACTAAGCTATAGTGTTTGAAAGTGCAAAAGTATGCTCTTGCTTTGCAAAACATACTTTTTTGTTATTTCTATATTTATAATAAAAATAATAAAAGCCCTTTTAATTTTTTCTTACACTAAAAGATAATTTGTGAATCAGATAATTTTAGGTGAATGTTTCATTAAAGGAAATGTCTGTTTACCTCTGATGCTGATTCAGTTCCCGTATTGTTTATGTCCTCAATCTATTGAATGAGAATTTCATATCATTACATTACATCAGATTTCTACTTTTTGCTTTTAAACATACAACTGGAAAGTAATTTAGTTGTGACTTATAGTAAATTTTCAAATTTATAATTTTTGAAATATGTTTATATTGTTCTAAATTAGCCAAATATGTCCTTTATATTTGTTGTTGCATATTGATATCAATATCAATATCCAGAAAACGACATATTAAGAAAACAATCAGGCTGGGCGAGGTGGCTCATGCCTGTAATCCCAGCACTTTGGGAAGCCGAGGTGGGCAGATCACTTGAGCCTAAGAGTTCAAGACCAGCTTGGGCAACATGGCGAGATCCCTTCTCTACAAAAAGCACAAAAATTAGCTGGGCATGGTGGCATGCACCTGTGGTCCCAGCTACTCTAGAGGCTGAGACAGGAGGATCACTTGAGCCCAGGAGGTTAAGGCTGCAGTGAGCCATGTTCAAGCCACTGCACTCCAGTGTGGGTGACAGAGTGAGACCCTGTTTCAAGAAAAAAAAGAAAGAAAAACAGAAAAAATTGAGACAAAGCCTACCTTTGTAACCCAGAAACTGAATAACAGACCAAACTCTTATGACCAATCTGTTGAGCTTACAAGCAGCAATTATTAATTTAATTAGCAATTTAAACCAAGACACATAGAAACACTTCTCCATTCTTTGTCACTGCCCCATCAAAAGGAAAACCTATCCATTAGCAATCTAATACTTGTCATGATTATATTTTACAACATAAGTATAGGGCAAAAATAAAACTGATACAATGACAGTGCAGTGAAAGATGTAGGCTAGTTTATTTTTTTGAGACGGAGTCTCGTGCTGTCACCCAGGCTGGAGTGTAGTGGCATAGTCTCAGGTCACTGCAACTTCTGCATGCTGGGTTCAAGCAATTCTCCGGCCTCAGCCTCCTGAGTAGCTGGGACTACAGGTGCACACCATGACGCCTGGCTAATTTCTGTATGTTTAGTAGAGACAGGGTTTCACCATGTTGGCCAGGCTGGTCTCGAACTCCTGACCTCAAGTGATCCGCCCACCTCAGCCTCCCAAAGTGCTGGGATTACAGGCATGAGCCAGCGTGCCCAGCTGGGATAGAATAGTTTAGAAGGGGCCGGGCGCGGTGGCTCAAGCCTGTAATCCCAGCACTTTGGGAGGCGGAGACGGGTGGATCACGAGGTCAGGAGATCGAGACCATCCTGGCTAACACGGTGAAACCCCGTCTCTACTAAAAATTACAAAAAACTAGCCGGGCGAGGTGGCGGGCGCCTGTAGTCCCAGCTACTCTGGAGGCTGAGGCAGGAGAATGGCGTGAACCCGGGAGGCGGAGCTTGCAGTGAGCCGAGATCTGGCCACTGCACTCCAGCCTGGGCGACAGAGCAAGACTCCGTCTCAAAAAAAAAAAAAAAAAAAAAGAATAGTTTAGAAGGGAAAATAATTCTGATAGTCATGTTTTCTCTATATTTTGACTAGGTCAAAGTAGGAAAGCTCCTCATTTAAAAAGTGAGAGCTTGGCCAGGCACAATGGCTCAAAAAAAAAAGAAAGACTTCTCTTCCTAAAAGAATACTGACAACTCCTGTATTAATCATGTTAATCTCTCAATAAAAAGATCCAGGAGCCTGGACATGGTGGTTCATGCCTGTATTCCCCTAACTTTGAGAGGCCAAGGTGGGAGGATCTCTTGAGCCCAGGAGTTTGAGACGAGCCTGGGCAACAAAGTGAGACCCCATCTCTACAAAAAAATTTTTTTGGTAGATTTTTTTTTGTAGAGACAGCAGGGTCTTGCTGTGTTGCCCAGGCTTGAGTACAGTGGTGCAACCTTGGCTCACTACAACCTTCGCCTCCCGAGCTGAAGCGATCATCCTCCCACTGCAGCCTCCCAAGTAGCTGGGACTGCAGACATGCGCCACCATGCTCACTATTTTTTTTTTAATTTTTGTAGTGACAGGGTTTTACTATATTGCTCAGGCTGACCTTGAGCTCCTGGGCTCAAGCAATCCACCTGCTTCGGCCTCCCAAAGTGCTGGTATTACAGGTGTGAGCCACCACACCTGGCCAAGAAGTTTTTTAAAAATTAGCCAAGCATGGTGGCATGCATCTGTAGTCCCAGCTACTTAGGAGGCTGAGGTAGGAGAATTGCTTGAGCCCAGAAGGTTGAGGATGCAATGAGCTGTGATTGCACCACTGCACTCCAGCCTGGGCAAGAGAGCAAGACTCTGTCTTAAAAAAATAATAAAAATGAAAAGATCCAGGAGATACGGTGAAAAGCCAGACATTGAGAATATAGAAAAGAGAAATACTAAATTTATTAACTCAACTTTCTTTTATTGCTGCTGCTGCTACAACCTTCCCAAACCCAGGTTTTTTGTGTTGTTGTTGTTTGTTTTTGGTGCAGTGGCCTGATCATGAACCTCCTGGGTTCAAGCAATCCTCCCACTTTAGCCTCCCAAGTAGCTGGGACTATAGGCACCCACCACCACCTCCTGGCTAAGTTGTTTGTCTGTCTGTTTTTAAGAGCTGAGGTCTCACTATATTGTTACCCAGCCTGCTTCCGCGATCTCTATTAGCTTGTGGTAAAATAATAAAGTATGTTTGAAGATCTTTTTTGCTTTCTTCTTTGCTCACTTTAAACCATTACCAAAACAAGAAAACATTGGAGCATACTTTTTTTTTTTTTCCAACAAACAAGGAAAAAGATAAATCTGTCTAAGTAGCCATGGTGTCAGTATATTCACAAAGACAAGATATTCAGAAGTTCAGTCATAGTGTTGACTTTCAGAAGACAACATTGAAGAGCCGCTTCCTATTTATTTTGCTTTATAAAAAATGAAACTCCTTTTGCTTCTTCCCAAATCAACTTCCTTCTCTTTTTCTTATCAACATCTCCTTCTTTTCCCTCAACAGTAACTTCTCTTTTTTCTAAGCTGATGGACTTTAACTTTGCTCATCAGGGTATCCTCAAAGATGAACAGATAATATCAAATCAAGTTTCTTCCCCAAATTGATTCTAACATCCACTATATCTACTATTAATCCCTACCCACCCCCCTACCATCTTTTTTTTTTTTTTTTTTTTTTTTTTTTTTTAAGAGACAAGGTCTCTCTGTTGCTGGGTGGAAGTGCAGTGGAATGATCATAGCTCACTGCATCCTCAAACTCCTGGGCTCAAGCAGTCCTCCTGCCTCAGCCTCCCAAGGTGCTGGGATTACAGGCATGAGTCACCATGTCTAGCTCTCATTTTTAATTCATTATAAGATCCTAGAATCTCCAAATCTTGTAGGTCACCAAGACATTCAGCTACCCCCTGACTCAGGAATCCTTTTTATGGCATTCTTGCATATGGATTTATACAAATAAATTTTACAAACAAACATTCAAACTCTTCTTGACTACCTATGTCATACTTTACTCCTTATATTCAAAGATACATTAAATTATATTAGAGTGGAGTGGAAAATGTACTTAATTAGATTTGAAAATTAAACTTTACATATTTACAAGATAAAATTACTAGGCCAGGTACAGTGGCTCATGCCTATAATTACTTTGGGAGGCTAAGGTGGGCAGATCATCTGAGATCAGGAGTTCAAGACCAGTCTGGCCAACATGGTGAAACCCTGTCTCTACTAAAAATACAAAAAAATTAGCTGGGAGTGGTGGCATGTGCCTGTAGTCCCAGCTACTCGGGAGGCTGTGAGGCAGGATAATCACTTGAACCTGGGGAACAGAGGTTGCAGTGAGCCGAGATTTTGCCACTGCACTCCAGCCTGGGTGACAGAGCAAGACTCCGTCTCAATTTAAATAAAACAACAAAAAAAAAAAAAAAAGGCCAGTGTGGTGACTCACACCTGTAATCCCAGCACTTTGGGAGTCCGAGGCAGGTAGATCACCAGAGGTCAGGAATTCAAGACCAACCTGGCCAACATGGCGAAACCCCGTCTCCACTAAAAATACAAAAATTAGCCAGGTGTGGTGGTGGGCACCTGTAACCCCTGCTACTCAGGAGGCTGAGACAGAATTGCTTCAAGCTGGGAGGTGGAGGTTGTAGTGAGCCAAGATTACACCATTGCACTCCAGCCTGGGCGACAAGAGCGAAACTGTCTCAAAAAAAAAAAAAAAAAAAAAAAAAAAAAAAAAAAAAAAAGGCTACCCTGCTGGATTTCAGACTTGCATGGGCCCTGTAACCCCTTTGTTTTGGACAATTTCTCCCATTTGGAACTGCTGTATTTACCCAATACCTGTACCCCCTTTGCAAATCCAGGGTAAATACATTTCTTTAGTAAGTATGGCATATGCTTTGCTTTCATTGTCACTTTTCTTTTTCAGAAAGGTAATGGAAACTGAAGGGAGCATAGCAAAAAGACTGAAAGCACTTAATGTATGGCTTTAAAAGACCAGCTGATATGGTTTGGCTCTGTGTCCCCATCCAAATCTCATCTTGAATTGTACTCCCATAATTCCCACGTGTTGTGGGCAGGACCCGGTGGGAGATAATTTGAATCATGGGGATGGGGGTGGTTTCCCCCATACTGTTCTCGTGGTAGTGAATAAGTCTCATGAGATCTGATGGTTTTATCAGAGGTTTCCGCTTTTGCATCTTCTTCATTTTCTCTTGCCACTGCCATGTAAGAAGTGCCTTTCACCTCCCTCCATAATTCTGAGGCCTCCCCAGTCATGTGGAACTGTAAGTCCAATAAAACCTCTTTTATTTTCCAGTCTCGGGTATGTCTTTATCAGCAGCATGAAAACAGACCAGCATTTAAAAGTATTGTTATTAGAAGATTAGCATTTTGTTAGGTACTCATGGATAGTTTATATGTGACATTGCCTTACATCTTTGTAAAATCTTCTAACCTGTAAAGAAAAATAAGGAATGTAGACGGGGTGAGGAATGTGGATAGAATGGTAAGATTGTATATGACAGATATCATCTCACTATTCTACCTTAAAACAGGCATATTCTGCCCATATCCTTCTAGGCATCTGATGTTAAATGTTTTTCCTTCAGATCTTTTCAGGTTAGCTGCCTTTTTTTTTTCTTCTTTGAGACGGATCATACTCTGTCACCCAGGCTGGAGTCTAGTGGCATGATCTTGGCTCACTGCAACTTCCACCTTTCAGGCTCAAGCGAACCTCCTACCTCAGCCTTCTGAATAGCTGGGACTACAGGCACTTGCCACCATGCCCAGCTAATTTTTGTATTTTTTTGTAGAGACGGGATTTTGCCATGTTGCCGAAGCGATCCACCCACCTTGGCCTCCCAAAGTGCTGAGATTACAGATGTGAGCCACCATGCCCAGACGGTTAGCTGCTTTTTAATAGGTTTATGTTATATTAAAATATTTTAATTAGGCAACATACTGATTAGTTTTACTTTGCACAGTTAGTTTCAGAAACAAAGACGAACTTAATCTTTAGTGATACCTGCTCAGCCCTTTTTGCTAATTCACGCTGTATTTTCCTCTTTTCTAACATATCCTGTTCAATTCTGCGTTTTCGTTCCTCCTCCGTTCTCTTCCTTTGTTCCTCTTGTCTTTGTTTCTCCATTTCAGCAAATCTACCCTTAACAGTTCCTAAGAATATATGAAAAAAATGTTTAATAATTGGCTGTGTTTCTATTTTGCAATTTAATTTGCTATTTACCCCTCAAGCTTCTTACCTGTTAATTTTGGAACATAAGCCTTTTCTACCTTAGAAGATACGTCTTCCTCATCATCAGAAGCAAGCATTTCTTTAATCTAGATGGTTAAATAAATTAATGTGAGCACATGTCCAAAAATTAGACTAAATCATATTATATGCAGAGTTTAAATTAGGTTACAAATACAGAAAAGTATTTTAGTTATAGTTCATATGAAATGTGGTTAATGTGAATAAATACAATTTAAATTAAAAAGATGAAAACAAGTATTTTCACGAGAATAAAGTAAAATACAGTAACCTCCTGCTTTCTCCTGTTCCATTCTCTCTCTCTAATATATTGTTCTTTTCTTCTTTGCTTTTCGTCTCTAGATCTCCTTTGATTTCTTTCTTCCCTGGCTCTCTGCATGGCTTCAAACTTATCCTTTACATCACCCTTGCCAAGTTTTGGTACATAGGTTTTTGGGACAGGTTTAGATGAAGAAAGCAGAATCTTCATTAGAAGAAAATAAAGAAAAGAAAGTTAACGAAAAAGATAGGAAGAAATTAGGTAAAGATAGATAAGAATAAGCAATATAAAAAATATATACTGAAACATAAAATAGAAATGTGTTTGAACGCTTTATTTGACTATCACATCCTGAATAGATACTTTCTAAAACCTATGAAAAATGACATTACAGAAAATATGAGAGTAGAAATTTCACTGTTATATAGTAATGAAATCCCATTTTGTGGGTAGCATTCCACCGAAGCTGAAAGCCAGTAAAATATAAAAATCAAATTCTGAATTCTAATTAAAAACTGTCTTTTATTGTCTAACTCCATTATTAAAGATTCAGATTTGATATCACTTGCTAAAAAGGTACCCAAACTAATTTCAGTAAATTTGGTGAAGTTGAAAACAAAGCAAAAGTTTAGGCTTTAAAGTTTAGAGGCTAATGCACGTTTTACACCCTTCCTGGTTTCTATATCTAATATAAGCAAAACTGAAGGCCAGTCCTTTAGTCCTTATTTGTGGCTGAGGTACACCATGGTCTGTGGGCACAAGCTGTGATTTATATTGTTACTATTACTTCCCATCTATAACTTCCTTAAACCACATTAAAAATGTGTAAGAAGGCTATATCATTCTATATAGGGTGGGCTGTAAGAGCAATTCCATATGGCAAGAGAGCTTCACAAAGAACGGGAATCTGGTAGAAGACTGAAGAAATGATTTCCTCCACTCTATAACCAGGAAAGCAAATTAGTTTCACCACTTTGAAAATTAAGCTGATTTCTAAATGAAATTTCAGTAAATAAAATGTGTGCCTCAGAACACCAAACCCTTTTTCCTAGTGATAATGACAATTGCTTAATTAATCTGTGGCACATCCAGCCTGTATTTTGTAATCTATTATGTGTCATTGGTCATTTAAGGGTTAATTTTATAATTCTGAGGTGTCAGCAACTGAACTCTTCTTACCACAGCTCTCAGTATCTACAGTCAAGAACCAGAAAAAAGCTAAAAATTAAAAATATACATAAGGCACTAAAAAGATTCCTTACCTAAGAGGGAATTATTCTTTCTCCTGTGAGTATAGGTCAAACTTTGTTTTAATACTAAAATAATACTTTCTAAGAGTTATCAAGAACAAAACATTTAAAATTCTACTCAGAATGCTAGCTATCACATCCACTTCACTATCATTCACAAATTTAGTACTCATGCTTTGTAGAATTTCCTAGAACCCAAATGAAAATACTAGCCCAAGATCAGCTGGTAAATTGTATCTCTTCTTGTTTTACATCTTGCCATTATGTTATTAATTATGAACTCCTAAATATGACCTTTCCACCAAATGATTGTCCTTTTAGCAATTCTACAGTCAACTCTACATTTCCCTGTTTTATTTTTATTTTTTTACTTTTGAGACTTACCTCAGCCTTTTGGGAAATATCATTCATGTTTGCTCTATGTGGTCTTGGGCTGATTATGAAGCTCTGTAAATATTTGCACCTGAAAAAATTTATATTGGATAATAAATTTTAATTTATTTGTAATATATTATGTATTTTTATAAATAGAAATAGCAATTAATTGCCCCTCAAAAAATACTGACATAATCCAAGCAAGTAATAAATTGTGATAACCTTTAGCTCTTTTTCCCAAGATTCATGGTATAGAAAATATAAGGTACATGATAGTAAAAGTTCCCTGAAAGTTTTTGATCCAGAATAGCTTGATGAACATATTAAGTTCACTTGAAAAGAATGTGTATTCAGCAATTATTGAGTGTATTACTCTATAAATATTAACTAGCTGAAGGTAGCGGATCATGTTTTAGATCTGTATTTTTACTAATTTTTGGCTAGTTCTATCAATCTTCAACTATGTAGTTTTTTTTTTTTTTTTTTTTTTTGAGATGGAGTCTCACTCTGTTGCCCAGGCTGGAGTGCAGTGATGCACTCGCAGCTCACTGCAACATCTGCATGCCAGGTTCAAGCAATTCTCCTGCCTCAGCCTCCCAAGTAGCTGGGATTACAGGCCCACGTCACCATGCCTGGCTAAATTTTGTATTTTTAGTAGAGACAGGGTTTCACCATGTTGGCCAGGCTTGTCTTGAACTTCTGACCTCAAGTGATACACCCAACTCGGCCTCCCAAAGTGCTAGGATTACAGGCGTGAGCCACTACGCCCAGACAGAATTTTTTTTTTTCTCGCTTTAATTCTGTTGTTTTTGTTTCATGTAATTTCAGGTTTAATCACACACACATTATGATTATATTTTCTTTTTTAATTGACCCTTTCAGCAGTATATTTTTTGTTATGGAGACAGTCTCACTCTGTTGCCCCAGGGTGAAGTGCAGTGGCACAATCTCAGCTCACTGCAATCTCCGCCTCCCAGGTTTAAGCGATTCTCCTGCCTCAGCCTCCTAAATAGTTGGGATTACAGGCAGCACATCCTCACGCCCAGCTAATTTTTTGTGTGTTTTTAGTAGAGACAGGGTTTCCCCATGTTGGTCAGGCTGGTCTTGAACTCCTGACCTCAAGTGATTCGCCTGCCTTGGCCTCCCAAAATGCTGGGATTACAGGTGTGAACCACTGTGCCCAGCCAACTGGTAAGAAATTTCTTTCTTCTTACCTCATTGTCTTAAACTTATATTAAAATAGTCACACCAACTTTATTTTCTTTTCTTTACTTTTTTTTTTTTGGTGGTGGAGGATGAAGTCTCGTTCTGTCGCCCAAGCTGGAGTGCAGTGATACCATCTCGGCTCACTGCAAGCTCTGCCACCTGGGTTCACGCCATTCTCCCACCTCAGCCTCCCGAGTAGTTAGGACTACAGGCACATGCCGCCATGCCCGGCTAATTTTTTGTATTTTTAGTAGAGATGGGGTTTCACCGTGTTAGCCAGGATGGTCTTGATCTCCTGACCTCATGATCCGCCCGCCTCAGCCTCCCAAAGTGCTGGGATTACAAGCGTGAGCCACCATGCCCGGCCACCAACTTTCTTCTTATTTATTCATTTATTTTTTAGAGACAGCATCTCACTGTGTCACCCAGGCTGAAGTACTGTGGCACAATGACAGCTCACTGCGCCCTTGAACTCCTGGGCTCAAGTGATCCTCCTTCCTCAGCCTCCCAAGTAGCTGGGACTACAGGCATGCACCACCATGCCCAGCTCTTTTTTTTTTCTCCTATAGAGATGGGGTCTCACTGTGTTGCTTAGACTGGTTTTGAAACCCTGGGCTCAAGCGACTCTCCCACCTTGGCCTCCAAAAGTGCTAGGATTGCATCCGTGAGCCACTACACCTGGCCCCCAATTTTCTTAGGTTTACAGTTTGCATGGTATATAATTTTCTAGCTATTTACTTTGATTCTATCTATGTTTCTATATGTAAAGTATATGTCTTGGACACAGCATATGATTGGACCTTGCTTTTTACAAAAATCAATTCTGATAAAATCTGGGTTTTCTTTTTCACTTTCTTTTTCTTTTTTTTTTTTTTTTTGAGACATAGTTTAGCTCTTGTTGCCCAGGCTGGAGTGCAGTTGCACGATCTCAGCTCACTGCAACCTCTGCTTTCCAGTTTCAAGCAATTCTCCTGCCTCAGCCTCCTGAGTAGCTGGGATTACAGGCTCCCGCCACCACATCCAGCTAATTTTTGTGTTTTTAGTAGAGATGGGGTTTCACCATGTTGGCTAGGCTGGTCTCAAACTCCTGACCTTGTGATCCACCCACCTAGGCCTCCCAAAGTGCTGGGATTACAAGCGTGAGCCACTGTGCCTGGCCTATAATCTGCTTTTTTAATTGCAGCATTTAGTTCATTAACATTTAATGTAATTATTAACATAAATGAGTTTAGGCCTATCATTTAAATGTTTATTTTAGGTTTGTTTTATCTTGTTTTGTTTTTTTCTTTTGGAATTTTCTAGCCAACTTTTTTTTTTAAATAGAGTTTATTTTAGGTTCACAGCAAAATTGAGTAGAAGATAGAGATTTCCTGTATATTTCCTGTCCCTGCACATGCTTAGTCACCCCCATTATCAACACTGGATAACCCCATTATTACCACCCATTGGAGTGGTACATTTGTTATAAATGATGAACCTAAACTGACACATCATTATCACCCAGAGTCCATAGTTTACATTAGAGTTTACTTTAAATGTACATTCTGTGGGTTTTGAGCAACTGTACAATGACATGTGTCCATCATTATAGTATTGTACAGAGCAGTTTCCCGGACCTAAAAGTCCTCTTTACTCCACTTGCTTATGCTTTTCTCCCCCATCATTCCTGGTAACCATGATCTTTTTACTGTCTCCAAAGTTTTGCCTTTTCCAGAATGTCATACAGTTGGAACCACACAGTATGTAACCTTTTCATATTGACTTTTTTCACATGGTTATGTGCATTTCAGTTTCCTCTGTTTTTCAGGGCTTGATAGATCATTTCTTTTTAGCACTGAATAATACTCTATTACCTGCATGTACCACAGTTTATCCATTCACCTACCAAATGACATCTTGGTTGTTTCCAAGTTTTGGTGTTTATGAATAAAGTTGACATAAATATCTGTATGCAGGTTCTTGTGGACCATGATTACTGGAGTATATGGTAAGAGCATGTTTAGTATTACAAGAAACCACCATGTAGCTTACCATTTTGCATTCCCACCAGCAATGAATGAGAGTTCATATTGTTCCACATCCTCACCAGCATTTGATGTTGTCAGTGTTCTGAATTTGTTTGGCCATTCTAATAGATGTGGAGTGGTATTTCATTTTTATTTTTATTTTTATTTTATTTTATTTTATTTTTTTGAGACGGAGTCTCGCTCTGTCGCCCAGGCTGGAGTGCAGTGGCTGGATCTCAGCTCACTGCAAGCTCCGCCTCCCGGGTTCACGCCATTCTCCTGCCTCAGCCTCCCGAGTAGCTGGGACTACAGGCGCCCGCCACCTTGCCCGGCTAGTTTTTTTTTTTTTGTATTTTTTAGTAGAGACGGGGTTTCACCGGGTTAGCCAGGATGGTCTTGATCTCCTGACCTCGTGATCCGCCCGTCTCGGCCTCCCAAAGTGCTGGGATTACAGGCTTGAGCCACCGCGCCCGGCCTGTCATTTTTATTTACATTTCCTTGAATATATATTAAATGAATAAATATTAAATTAGAATTATATTAAATAATATATTAAAGCACCTTTTCATATGCTTATTTGCCATCTGTATATCTTCTTCAGTGAGATGACTCCTAAGATCTTTGGTCCATTTTTTTAAATTATTATTTTTTTTGAGATGGAATCTTGTGCTGTTGCCCAGGCTAGAGTGCAGTGATATGATCTTGGCTCACTGCAACCTCCACCTCCCGGGTTCAAGCAATTCTCCTGTCTCAGCCTCCCTAATAGCTGGGACTACAGGCGCCTGCCACCATGCCCGGCTAATTTTTGTATTTTTAGTAGAGATGGGGTTTCACTATATTGGTCAGGCTGGTCTCAAACTCCTGACCTCACGTGATCCGCCCACCTCGGCCTCCCAAAGTGCTGGGATTACAGGCCTGAGCCACTGTGCCCAGCCCTTTGGTCCATTTTTTAATTGGGTGGTTTGTATTATTATTACAGAGTTGTAAGAGTTCTTTGTATATTTTGGATAACAGTCCTTTATCTGATTTTGTCTCTTGCAAATATTTTCTCCAAGTCTATGGCTTATCTTTTAATTCTTTTCATAGTGTCTTTTGCAGAACAGAATTTTTAATTTTAATGAAGTCCAGCTTATCAATTCTTTCTTTCACGAATTGTGACTTTGGTATCATAGCTAAAAAATCAATTCCAAATGTGAGGTCATCTAGATTTCTGCCTATGTTTTCTTCTAGGACTTTGATAGTTCTATGCTGTAAGTCTGTGATTCATTTTGAGTTAATTTTTGTGAAGAATGTAAGGTCTGTTTCTAGATTCGGTTTTTTGCAAGTAGATGTCCAGTTGTTCCAGAACCATTTGTTGAAAATAATCTTTACTTTATTGCCTTTGCTCCTTTGTCAAAGATCAGTTGATTATACTTATATGGGTTTATTTCTGGGTTCTCTATTCGGTTCCATTGATCTTTTTCTTTATTATTTCACCAACACTGCACTATATCAATTATTGTAGGTTTATAGGATGTCTTAAAGTTGAGTAGTGTTACTCCTCCAGCTTTGTTCTTCTCCTTCAACACTGTGTTGGCTATTCCAAGTCTTTTCCCTTTCATATAAACTTTAGAATCCATTTGTCAATATCCACAAAATAATGTGCTGGGATTTTGATTGGGATTGCACTGAATCTGTAGATGGATCTAGGGAGAATTAATATCTTAATAATGTTAAGTCTTCTGATCCATGAACACAGTATGTCCCTCCCATTATATACATATTCTGTAATTTCTCAGAAATGTTTTGTAGTTTTCAATGTGCAGATCTTCCACATCTTTTGTCAGTTATCCCTAAATAATTTCATATTTGTTTATACTACTGTAAATGGTGTTTT